TTTCGCGGCGCCTCATCTGTACTTTATTACATATCTGCTGCTTCCTCCCGCGAGGCATGTGATCGCTTTGGATATGCATTTGGATTTGGAAATGTTGAGCTGAGAGAGTGTGTGTGTGTGTGTGTGTTTACGTGGCTTGTATTCGAGGTTAATAGGCCCCGTGCTCTCCCAACGTGGAAGTCTGCTAGTCATTATCCAATCTGTGCCGCACTGTAACCAACAACGAGACTCCGCAGCAGAGAAACGGCACATAAATATTCAATACTGCGTTCACATTGCACAATATCTCCTGATAGATATGTGGCTAATAGATGTGCTCTTGGCAAAAGCTTTTCTGTGTAAAGGATGACTCACTTTCCACCGAGTGTTTGAAACATTTCTCACAATCAACATTTTTTTTCTTCTCTTTAGTGGGAAGCCTGAGTTCAAACCATCTCTTGTTAACACTTCCTATGCTGAGGCCCTGGATGGAGCAAAAGCATTCCCATGCACGTGTGGGCCATCATTTTCTGACCATAACCGTCTCATAAATCTCTCCCACCGGCTCTAAAGCCCCGAGTTCACCCTCAAACAAGTTACATCTACAACATATCCGCCCTGCTCCACAAGAAGGGTTTGAGAGCCCCACATGTTGGGGTCATTAGTCGGGAAGTCTTGGCCACGTGGGAATTGACTCATAGGCCGTCCTTTGCACCACAAGCCCTCTGCGTCCACGATGCCTGCGCCCCATGAAAGGCCCCCTCTTGGCATGATGAATGGCCTCAGCCTCCCGCTGCAGCACACGAGGAGCTCGTGGGTAAAGTGCACGTGGACGTGATCGTCCTAAAGCACATGCACAGGCAGCGGGGCTGACACACACTCACTTGGCCGAGCAAACGTTCCTGAAGAATCGGTCGGCTGTCCAGACTAAAGGCTGTTCAGAATGGGGAAGATCCTGTATCCTGTAAAGGTTTTTGTTATGGGCTCTTAAAGGTTTTAAAATGTAAAAGTTTCCAGTGTTATGAATGAAAGTTCTCTCTCGCAAAGTCATGTACGTGCGTTAGATCTCTTTAAAAGTCCTCGGATGGCAAAAAAAAGAGACCTTCTTGTACGTATAAAGGTGAAGATTTATCTTTTTCTTGTTAAGACCGTGTTAAGCACAATATAAAGTCTTGTTGTGTGGAAGTAAAATAAACCGGTCGGTTACTTTCCAGCAGGTTTTCATTTTGTGCTGTTTGCACAAGGTGTGCACTCGGAATGAGCAGAACACTTGTGGTTGGAAATGAGCTGCCCGCCCAGGACACACACACACACACACACACACACACACACACACACACACACACACACACACATGCACACACATGCACACGCATGCATCCCCACGTACTTCCACAGATGCTCTGTGTGCTTTTACCTGTGAATTCAAGATCAGAAGGACAAAGATTTTACACATTCAAGTTTAAGACCGTGGACGCAACCTTGAAAAGAACAATAGAGACGGAGTGAGAAGAGATAACTTCACCTGGTGTGTATTTACGTCTGCAATAGCTCCATATTCCTGCTGAGCTCCACTAAATGAAGACATATGAGAGTCATTAGGTTATTCCAGTCATGTGCACACGCTGCCCTCTTATTTAAAACCGTTGGTGCTCTCTTTCATGTGCTTCCAAGCTAAAGCCCTTTCAGGGTGGATATGGTCAATGTTTCTGCTGCTGAAGCACGTTGGGAGGGCACATCTGTATCTTCAACAAGAACGCTGTGAAGTTGTGTCCGTGCAGCTTTGCTCACAAGTTCTTCCTATACACCCAAATGAGGATCTTGAAAAATGGCCCAAATCTGCAGTCCCTCCAGAAAGCAGTCAGATCTTATCTTCACAGCAGGAAAAGAACTTTAAAGTTAAAAGTAATTTGTTCTCTATCGCTGACTTTCCCATTCATGAAAACGATTCCTTTTTAATGAAACTCACCTTCCTAAATACCATAAATGCCCCGTTTCCTGTGGTTAATGGTCCGTCAAAGGCCCCGCCCACTCTCCAATCCATCATTACACATCGCTCAGGATTTCCCTTTAAAATGTAGACAGGTATGTCCGCGCGCTGTCATGTGCCATGTGCAGGTGCAAGTGTGTAACATGTGACAGCTCCGCCTGTCTTCGACCTGATGGAAAAAGAAGAGTTCAAAGGTCAGCGGGCGAGTTTGAAGGTCTTTGCTTCAGACTGAACGCGCTGTACCGTGGTCAGGATGTCACTGTGGACCAAGGGGGACATTGTTTCGGATATTTCCACCAGTCGGGGCGGGTTCTCGGTCCAAGTTGACGTACAAGATGTTTGAAACCTCTCGAAATCTGGAGACACACGGAAACCGCTTCCCCACGCGTCCTTGCGCGTCTCTAACTGTAACGTTAATGGCGAAGACATTTGGGGCCCGGACAGAGTTTGGAGCCCTTCCGAGGTGTGGCCACCATCTTCTCTACCCTCACTGATCCCCAAACGAGACTGTGGAGCATGCTGCCGTCCGTGCACACACCACTGACATGTGGCAATCATCACGTCCTTCTGAGCTTCACATCTCGGAGAAAACGTTTGGTGCACGTTACAGTGACCGAGAAGGCCTCCGATCTGCTCCTCAGACGGAGGAGCGGGGCGAAAGAGGGCGGTGCCCAGTTACGTCCACACTAATAACATCCAGAAGTCCACATCTTCATAGCAAAGTGCTTTTGATTTGGTGAACATGTGCTGATTGACATCAGGCAAACTGCAGCTTGAAGTGAATCTGGGCAAAGCGACAGCACATTGTTTCCCCAGATGTTCGTGCTTTGTTGTTTGTTTTCCGCGATCTCCCCGGAGTCGTCTCGCCGCGCCGATTCCTTTCAACTTTTTTTGCAGCTGTAAGCAGCAAGCAGCTCTGACATTTTGTGCTTTTAATATAGTTCCCAACTAAAAGAATCCCTCCGTGTTTCTGGTGCAGGTTAACGACAAAGAGAAGTGAAGAATGCTTCTTTGACTTTGTGACACACACCGATCATGCCATGTGCCCTTTAGAGGGGAAGAAATCAACTGTAAACTTCAGAAAATAAACATAAAAACACTGTCAGATCCGCTGGATGTTGAGTTCAGGGTCGGTTGCACATGTGAACACCACATGCAGCATGCAGGACGTCTTAAACTCCCGCTCTAGCATCTGCTTGGCGTTACTCGCATATATAAATATATATTGCATGAGTTCACTGGTCTGTTTGAATGTAATGAAAGGTCTGTAATAAAGAAGCATCCGGGTGGCAGTAAAATACACGTTTAAGCTGGCGGTCTTGGGGGCGACCCGTTCGGAGTGGGGCGGCCGGAGGACTGCAGTGATTCTTCATGCACCCAATGTAATTACAGAGCAAAGCTTCGGGACCTCTGCTGACTTTGGACCAGGACACACGTTGCAATCAGCGCGCTGTTAAATGCCGACAGCACGCCGAGGTAACGCAGGGAGACAGACAAGCCCATCATGGCGAGTTGGGCCCGGCCAAAGCTGGAGCACCACCTCCGTCTCTGGATTGACTTTGACCCAAATATGCCAAAAACACACACGCGTGAGCCGTCGGCCTCCTCCCTGCAGCTGTTACCATCTGCTGACACGGGCAGGGACACAGGATGCAAACACAGAACCTTCTATTCAACCTGCATGTGATTTAAAGCCAAGCAGATGTGTCAACATATAAATATTATTCCTATTGATGGTGAGCAGAAACCTCCGACATCCTCTTCTTCCTGGTGGAGGTTTTCATTTTCAATGCATTACTTTCTAAATAACGTTGTACTTTTTTCACCTTACATTGTATGTTTTGTTGAGGGACAAATGGGTGCAAACTGTAATCTGTTCATACAAACTAGCAGCTGTACAGCATGCAGTGTTTAGTCGTTGCAGTGAGGGTGGATGTGGCTCAGGCGAGTTTACTTTTCTTTAGGCCTTAATTACAGGCAGCACATGGGAAGTTCTCAGAGGAAATGAAAAGAGTCCAAACGATTTTTTTTTTTAAAGCACCCGTCAGTCATTAGTAAATATGTTACTTTGGCAAATAAACATTGTGCTTTTTTGGTTAACATTTAGCACAGGATTTCCCTCTGAACCCTCTGTGTCTTTCTGCACAGCAGGTAAAGAAGAAGAAATAAGGGCGTTTCTTTACTGTCTTTAAAGAACAAACTCAACGCTGATTTATTTCCCCAGCAGCGGCGCTAAATCATCGAACCACCCGGTGCGTTCTGCTCCGGAGGAACGTGAAACCACCGCAGCGCACACTTCTGGATTCCTACTGAAATCTGGGTGTTTCCGACCGAACTGGCAACCCGCCGTCCCGGGGCAGGTCCTGCCGTCGCGTCTCTAGTCCGGAGGCTGATGTTCGGGTTGGGACACTTCTGGGAAAGCCCCCGAACGGTCCGCATATCCGAGGAGAACCCGCGGAGGGAGCGCAGAGGCATTCCGGCGCCTCCTTCTGAACCCCGACCGCCGTCTCACCGCGAGTTCGACGCGAGCAACGGACGCCCGACGGATTAATCCGGATTATCAAGCTGCTAATTTATGCGCGTGTTTCTTTTTTTTTTTGGAGATGTGGCGAGGTCCCGAAAACTTTGCGCCGAAAGACTTCCATTCGTTTCCCCCGAGGGCCGAGGAATTATTACAACGTTTAGGGACGTTTGTGTAACAGATTACCTGCGACTGCACCCGTAAACGGAAGCGTTGCTGAGATGCAGTTCTGGATATATAACTGTTAAAAGGTTAAAACTCTCCTCCTATTCTCCTTTCGCGTCATCGGGAGCGCACGGTGGAGCGGATCTGCGCAGCCGGAGACGCGTCGCTTGGCAGACCTGTTGTGAGCCGGTCGCTGCTCGCTCCTTCATGGCTTCATCTGGAACTCATTGATCAATAACAAACTGAAATGCACTAAAAAGGCGCGCCAGCAGCAGGACCGAGGCTCCACCACTGGATCGCTGTCTTTCCCCATTCGGTGCGCGTTCGGCCCGACACCTCGCCAGGATGCGCGGGGCTTTCCTTCTCACGTTGGCTCTGATTTATCTGTTAACTTTGACCAGCGAGGCCGACGAAGGGACTCAAGTCAAGCGGGCGCGATGGCACCGACGCGCCGGTCTGGGACTCGCCCGGCCGGGCGCAACGGAGAGGAAGCGCCCCGTCCGACGTAACCAACCCGGGTACGGTTCAGCAGTCGCCGTGCTGGAGGTGGAGAAAGGCGTGCAGGCGGACGAGAGTCTCCCAGGAGTTCGGAGGTTCGGGCCGGGGAGAGGGGCGGCCGGACAGATTGGTTCGCCCCGCCGCCTGCAGGGTGAGGGCGCCCCGGGAGCGAGAGCCCGGGTCACCCGGATGCCCAGCGGCGCCGGGTCTCCGAACCTGCTGGCCAGCTTCGCGGGGAAGAACCGCGTCCTGGTGATCTCGGCGCCGCATGATTCCGACGGTTACTACCGAATGATGATGTCTCTTCTGAAATCAGATGTGTACTGCGAGCTCGCCGAGCGACACGTCCACCAGGTTGTCATGTTCCATCAGGAGGGCGAGATGGGTGGCACGGTGAGGAGGATCACCACCGAGGGGAAGGTGATGGAGGAGCCGTTGGACACAGCCCTCATCCCCAGACTCATGAGCTTCCTCAAACTGGAGAAAGGTAAGCGATAGGAAGGAGGGGAGGCCACTGGGACTCACACTCCCGACTACCTGTAAGTGTTTGTATCCAAATCTGAGGAGTGCTGCGGTGCCCCGCAGGTAAGTTCGGGATGGTGCTGCTGAAGAAGACCCTGCAGGTGGAGGAGAGGTACCCGTACCCCGTGAGGCTGGAGGCCATGTACGAGGTCATCGACCAGTCGCCCATGAGGAGGCTGGAGAAGCTCAGACAGAAGGGCTTCGTCCAGAAGTGCAGAGCAGCAGGTGTGGAGGGCCAGGTGGAGGAGGGCTCGCTCACAGGTGAGGTGGGGGTTTGAATTTAGATTATTTTGCGAGTTACAATCTGCTCCTTTATTATCCAGCACAAAGAATGTGGCAGTCAGGAAATATTTACGGCATTTTAGAGTTAAACGTGTGTTGAAGCAATATCAAGTAGTAGAAAAATGATGGCGGAGAACTTTTAATCTATTGTCTTCCTTTCGATGTGGTGACCCGCAGAGACACCAATAGAAAGAAAACCAGGGAAGAAGATCCTGAGAAAGCCCACAACCACAGCTGCCACCACCACAACAACTACAACTGCCCGGCCAACCACCACAACAACCACCACCACTACAACCCGGCCCACCACTACGACCACCACAACCAGAGCAACAACAACAACAACCACCACCACCACCACCAAACCAACCACAACCAGAAGAACAACCACGAAACGACCCACAACCACCACCCAGAGACCCACCAGGGCCCAAACCACAGCCCCGTGGCTCCCAGTGCCCAGAACCACCGCTGAGCCGCACCTCTACGACCGCAGAGAGAAGGAGAGGTACCCGGCTAGAACCACGCCGGCTGGAGAGAACCGCGCCGACCAGGACAACAGAGAGCCACCGGGCCGCAGGCTGGTGCCGGACACGCGTAAACCCTCCAAGACCAAACCCACCAAGAGGAAGAACGGCGGAGAGAAGGTGACCTTGAAGGGCGTGGGTGTTGGTTCGAGTGCTATCATTTAGTGCTGGAAAACACCACAGTACCAAAGAATAGTTTGGAGGATGTGTGTGATTAGAAATGTGAGTTGGAAGAGGCAAAACTGTCACAATGTGGAATCCATTTAAAGCTGCAAACACTTCTGCTGTCATCTTTGTTTTTGCATGTGTCAAGGGGGGTGTCGTTTGCTTGTGTGCTTGTTTATTGGAACGAGGAAAGTGGACACGCACTTGTAATACTCAATGAACAACGTATCTGTGTCTTTGCAGTTGTTGACAAATGAGTACGAGGACAAGTACGAAGCGGGGACGCCAGCCGCCAGTGATCCAGAGGAGACAGAAACCTTCACCGCCACTAGTCCCACCAAGAAGGCCAAGGGCAAGCACGAAAAACACGACAAGAAGAAGAAAAAGACTGACAAGGCTGCCAAGAAAGCAGAGAGGAGAGGAGGAAAGATGGGAGGCAAGAAAAATGGAAAGAAGCCGTCTAAGTACCCGGAGAAAGAGGACTACCCGAAGACTACCAAGAAGCCAACGCCTCCGCCAAAGGGATCCCTGGCCTCCTTCCTGGACCACTTTGAAAACAGGAGGAGGCTGCTGGTGAGAGCATGAAATAAGTCAAGAGTTAATGAGAGGCTCACTACCTCTCATATCCTTTCATAACTATTGTTTACCGCAGAGATACAGCCACTCCAAGTACACACACATAAAGGAAAGGTTAGAATACACTTTTGTGTATTCAACGTGAAGATTGATACCAATCTATCTCAATCTTCTCTGTTCAATAGAAGTTCGGTTAGATCAGCATAAATACCATGGTAAACCATCAGGCTTAGGACAAAACTATTGTTGAGACTCTTCCTTTAATGAACATTTCCAGTATATCAGCAGTAGGAATTTCAAGTACGAAGTACAAATCTCGTATCCCATTAGGAGACAGTAGGCCAGACGAGAAGATTAGCTACTGAGGGCAACAATCCAAAAGAAACGTCTGCTAAAAACATTTAATATCACAAAAAATACTTTTAGTTTTTAGCCAAAATGAGGTGTGGAGAGGGATGAGGTGGTCTACAGTATTTCGCAACTCCAACTTCCAAAAAAAAAAAGCACTGGAGAGTTATGAATATCTTGCAAGCCAAACATCTGGACCAATTGCTGATTAATAACTTTTTACCAGCCAACAAACCGGCAAACACCGCTGTGCTCGTTTCCCCAGTTTTATTTCTAGCGTCTTTCTTTATGAGCCCTGTGAAGTGGCTCGTGATATAATAAGGATGAAGTCTGTGGAGCAGCTCCCTGACAGGCTGCACGGCTGTGTGCTAACAGACTGTGTGACTCTGTTTGGCAGCCAGGGTAGATTCTTATCACAGCAGTGCTGCAGGCGGGCTGGAAAAACATGCCTCCACTCCTCCACCCGCGGGTCCATGCAAACATGGTCCTCTTCAGCACACCGGACATGACACCGCCACCTTCTTTCCCCTTCCTCCAGCTGATTACGTCCCCCGGCGAGGAGAACACCATGTACGTCCAGCAGCGGGACGAGTACCTGGAGTCCGTGTGTGAAATGGCCATCAGGAAAGTCTCCATCATCACCATCTTTGGCTCCCTGACCAACTCCACCATGAAGATTGACCACTACCAGCTGGGTAGGTATCGGGACGTGTCACCTTTCGCACCCGCCGGCCCAGAAAAAACTGTGGTCTCATTTTGATTTGGAAAACAGAACAACAGCGAATGTGACACGGGAATAAATTACAACAAACAAACACGGTGCAAGAATCAAGGTATCATTTCAAAAAGGATTCTTTGCGTCGTTTCCCATTGGACTTAAATGGGACTTCTACATTTGGTAAAAACACTTTATTGTAAACTCTATTCTAACTTTAAAAAACAGAAGATGTATTCCGCCACCAGTCTGTCATCGCGTGAGGACGGCCAAGCGAGGACTGGAGGTGTCTCGTAGACACTCTAAAAGGAACCAAAATCGACTCGTATTTTAAGACGTTTCATTGCACGTCTCAAACTTGAGGGTCAGGATTGTGCAATTTAACTTCAGGACTCACTTTATACGACTTTATGAGTCTGCCGGTCCGCGTGCTTGGAAAAAGTGTTGCTCTGTGATGTCCCTTCCCCCCTCTCTCCCCCCGTCCCCCCCCGTATCCGCCTCACACACCCACGGTGGGACCGGGTTACAGTCTTGTTCCATGCACATGCCAGCCACAGGGTCAGTGTGTGCGTGTCCGGATGTTCTGCACACGAACAAGCAGCTCTTTCAGTTTAAAGTGACCTCATAGGGTTTGAGTTCTAAGTTGTCTGCCTGTTGGCATGTGATGTGAGTGTGTTTGTTGTGTGTTTTTCTCGAGTGCACACTGTGCGTGTCTGCAGCGACGGTAGGTTTCCAGAGTCATCTGACCGTGCCGGATGGAAAAAATAGAAAGCTGCTCTTTGTCGGGTTTGACCTGGGAAAAGAGGTTTTGTTGGTGTCTGAGCGGCACACGCTTTGTTTTTAACACAATCATCACAATCATCCAGCAAGACGTCAGTGAGCGGTGTGACTTTCTTACCGTCCTGTAAGAGATTTAATTTGTCTGACGTTTATACATCTCACACATGTGTCATTTGATTTTCTTCTCTCAATGAGCAACAATCTTCGTCGAGATCAACGGCACGCCTGTGAGCTCTGTGACCGCATGTCACATTACAACATGTGCCCACAGACTGTCTCACCGTCTCCACCGCTGTCTCCTTGTCCCCCTCCAGAAAACGACAGGCCCATGAAGGGTCTTCGTCAGGAGGACTTGGTGAACCAGGATCTGATCACAGAGCTGAGGAAAGATTTCGGCATGACCCATGACGACTTTTACATGGTCCTCTCCGACGCCGACATGAGAGTCAAGGTAACAACTGCTCTGCGCAGACGTGGCGCAAGCTAAGGGGCTGGACCGTCCAAAAGTCCTGGGGGGCAAGATACGTTGAGGTCCGTCTGATTTCAGAGGCTCCATCTTTTGAAAGATAAAAAAAAAACTGGTGTTGACAACCGCATCGTTCGAAGGATCCATCCACCTTCCACGGGGACAGAACACGGCCTTAAAGTCAAACAACATGGCGCTTGCCAAACACCTCTGTGTGTGTGTGTGCGTGCCGGGGTAAATCGCTGGGCTGTTTATGGACGCGTTGGTCAAAGGGGCCAGTGTTCAGCCCTCTGCTGACGGAGACAGGCCAGTGGTGAGCGCACCAGGATGTGGGTGTTGGTGAGAGACGGAGAGCGGCAGAGGGAGGTGTGAAGAAGTCAGAGGGAGCCGCGCAGAAGACGACACAACGTCTGCAGACGTGTTTCAAAAAAAATCCCTCCCCCCGTCATTCGATGGAATCGTATTTGCTTTGTGTCTCATGTCGTATTACTGAATTCATTCTGTGGTGTTTTTGGGGGTAAAGAGCACAACTGGTTCTTGTCAATGTGCTTTTTTGTCAGCAATCCTATGAAGTTCCCATCGCCATGAAGGCTGTGCTCAACTACATCGACACCTTCTCCTCCCGCATCCGCGAGATGGAGCAGCAGAAGAGAGACGGGATTGTGTGCAAGAAGGAGGACAAGCCCAGATCGCTGGAGAACTTCCTCTCCAGGTAAAGTTTCCTGTCCATGGCCAAAGATATTAGGACACACAAACATTACCTCCGGCGGACCATGTCTGGCTTCTGTGAAGCATTGATTTCATTAAGCTTTCATGAAACGTTCAAAGCGTACTGTATAAAACTGTATTTTTCACTTAATCGCTACTTGCTCAAACCTTTAGGGGAAAAAGCCCCTCGTGACCTCAATGCGGCGTGTTGCTCAATAACCAGATTGACCACAGTTCACAGCGTTTCGCGAGCAGCCGATTCGTTTGTTCCGCTGACACTAAAAGTTCCCCGCGAGTCATTGCAGTCTCACATTTTTTGCCTCGTTTCCATGGAGACCGGATTTTCAGCTTTAGATCACAGCGCTGGGACCTGGCAGGCCTTTTTGACCATAATTCGGGGGTTGTCACCCGTCGGGGCTCGATAACGGCGCACCGAAGTGCCACTTAAATCCGGGCGGAAATCTGGCGTGATTGCAGGTTCCGTTGGAGACGCCGACTGTTCATCATCTCCGCCCCCAACGACGAGGAGTGGGCCTATCAGCAGCAGCTCTACGCCCTGACCAGCCAGGCCTGCAACCTCGGTGAGTCACCCCGACCCGACCCGTCCTGTTAAGGGTTTGCGGAAGCTCTCGAGGGAGGACTCAATCCTTTGTTCTCGTCCCGGCCGGAAACGAGGACACGAATGAGTCAATTCGTTTAAATTCAAAAATCAAAAAGTATTTAATGACTAAACAACGTAGTAGGGATTACAATTACAAAGTGAAATACTAAGCGAACAGTGGAATATTTCGCGAAATAGAGAATCCTCTGAGCAAGTCTAAAGTGACTTATCAACGCGGCTGCAGGAGAAGTTCTAACAGTCTTTTCCCCGCCATGGCCCTTTGAAACCTCTTGAGGTGTGTCTTCTTTGGTACATTTGAATGTCATTGGCCTCTTCTCCAAAGGGTCACCTCCTCCATTGTCCCTTCCACGTCGAGGTGTGAAGCTGCAGCTGTAACCTGAAACCTCTCTGTCCATCTGTCCCTCACATTCCAATGCACTCAATGTAGATACATTCGGCTTTATGCCCCAATGAGTGAATTTAACAAAGCATACATTGTTTAAGTCTTCATCTTATAACTAGTACACTTTCATTACAACAACCCATCACTAATGATCACCGTTCATCACACTTCATCATAAGATCTAAAACAGTTCATGTGGTTCAATTCTCAAGACATTTGCCTCAGTCGGCTGCCTTACATTAAGTTGTTCATTTATTACCTGACAGGAGAAAAAACTCCCAGAAAACCCTCTTTGGGGATAAAATTGGGAGAAATCCATAAAGAACGGCAATTGGCATCCGTCCCCAGGTTTTAACATCACATTGTAACAGAATGTTAATGTGTGCAGTGTTTATATGATTTAAATGACTATGAATTGTGTTTGATTGAAATTGCATTCACTTCATCTAACATGTTAATGTAATAACTAATATCTAACATCACACAAACTATAATTCTAACACTAAACATTATTACACGTACTATAATTTCCTGACTAGGGGTGCACTTCTGGCTTAAATCCCTAACAGTCCCCCGCAGAACCAACCGAGGCCGCTCAATGATCCCAACGCGTAGAGGCAGCAATTAAAACGACGACTTGGAACTCGCCCTTTAAAGCTCGTATTTTGTCATCGCGGCGCCAGGTGATGCTGTTAAGTGCACATCCGTGGTTCTGTTGGGCCCCTGCAGTGATGTTTTCTGTCTCTTCTGTGTTTGAGGCGCTGCGCTCGCGCTGACTTCCCTTTCTGGACCAGGAGCAAAGAAATACACATGCATGAAGTGACCTTTGATTGATCTTTGGGTTTGGTTCAACACACATTAACCCGTCTTAGTCTTAGTGAGACCACTTATGAACATTAGTCACATGAAGAAGTTGATTACATGGGACCTTTGTGTTTACGGCAAGCCTGCAGCCATCATCAGCACCTGTGAGAGTGTCTGTGCACGTGGACGGAGGGACGCATGAGGACACGGCGGCTCTGTTTGTTCCCCCCCACCTGACAACGGCCTTTTCAGACGGTCAAATGTTCCACAGATACTTAAATCAGTCAGTGCTGTATATTTGAAAAAGAGATATTTATCTAAACTTTGCAAATCTCAACAGCATGATGCGTGACAGATTTACAGAAGATTAGTGTAAACTTGAAAGGGTCCAGCGTGTACTCCACCTCTCCGTGAGACCCAATAAACGCAGTCGTCTGGAGACTCGTCTCTCTTACTTCTTCCCCCTGCACCTTGTCAGCAACTTGGATATAAGCCTTTGATTGGTGTCAATCTGCCAATTGATACTTTTGATGATAGTTCGGGAAGACAAACACAGTTGCCGTCACCTCAAACTAACAATCGGTATGTTTTCTCGGGGTCTCAGCGAGAGCTTTTCTTCTCGATATCTGCAGGAAAGCGGCGCTCTTTGTGGCGTCACTGTTTTTATCCCCATGTGGGAGACGCAGGTGAAGCTTGTCTTGCTTATCAGCAGACCCAGACCGTCAGTCTGTGAGGATTTTCTTCTCCCATCGTGTGTTGCTCTTGGCTCCCCGCCCCGCCCCGCCCCGCCCGGACAAAGGCCCGTCCTGCTGACTGGGCTGGAGGCCCGGGAGGTTTGATCCTGGCTCTCACCGAGTGAAGCCTGTGTTCTCCCGTGTTTAATGCGGGCTCTCTCGCTTCAGAGGAACCAGCGTTTTGGCAGGACTCTCCGGACCACCACGTCCTCCCCCCTTTACCTGCAGCCCACCGCTTGGATTCACAATAACAACAAACCGCGGGCCAATCGTCCCGGTATAAGCCGGAGGACCGGTGGACGCAAAGGCGTTGGTCTGCACTGAACTTTCACCGTCTCTGTGTGTTTGTCCATGCTGTCGTTGTTGCCTTGGCGACGTAGGTCTGAGGCACATCGCCGTTCTGAAGTTGACCGGCACCGAGCTGGCGGAAATGGGCGGAGTCTTGGAACTCTATCCGATCAACGGTAAGTGCTTTCTCATTGAGACCACAATGCGAAACCAAATGTTCTCTCCAATGGCAAGACGTCCCACTTTATTCACTAAGTAAACATGAGTTCATGATCTAAATCTCGAATTGTCTTCAATACAAGATAAGGTCAATTGTGGTTCAATTTGCAGGAGTACTAGTTGTACTTAACTCTGCCCAATGGCAAAAAAGCAGGCTTCAAAACGGCCGTCCACAAGCCAATGTGCAACCACATGGTGACTTTGTGCACTTCTTATAAACAGTTTCTGAACCACAGAATGGTAAAGATTATTTTAAAAAGTAGCACTTACTTTTTCAGCATGTAAATAACTCTTAATAACCTCAAAGATCCTCATTCACTCACAGACGCTGCACACGACCTCACAGCAACGGTATCCGTTGCTCAAGAGAACACCTGAACAAACAAACTTTACTGGGCAAAAAAAATAAATGCGAGTCCATCTCATGCAAAAACAGAGATTTGTCAGCAGTTTCGGGACGCTGCTTTTGGCATTTGAATACAGCGAATGTCAAACAAGTCGGCAAAGGAGAAACATTCATGCAGTCAAAAACAAATTCTCTGCTCCATCCAGGGAGTGCTACTGTGGAGCGCGAAGGACTGTCGGGCCACCTGGTGAAGGACATGAGGAACTACTTCCAGATCAGCCCGGAGTACTTCTCCATGCTGCTGGTGGGGAAGGACGGCAACGTGAAGTCCTGGTACCCGTCGCCCATGTGGTCCATGGCCATCATCTACGACCTCATCGACTCCATGCAGCTGCGCAGGCAGGAGATGGCCATCCAGCAGTCGCTGGGCATGCGCTGCCCCGAGGACGAGTACGGCGGCTACGGCTACCACCAGCACGGTTACCAGGACGGGTATCACCAGGGCTACGGGTACTGAGCCCCCCGTCCTCCAGCGGGCAGTCGGCTCGGACGTGAGCGAAGCCCTCGAATGTTCTGTAGCACTTAGTGGAAGCCTCAACACTGTCGCTTTCTCCGATCCGGCCTGGAGGCTCGGAGACCTGTTCCGGACTCCAGTGTTTTGCACGTTATTACGTCATCTGTCTCCTTCACTTTGCCTTCCAGGTGAATTTTCTATTTTCATTTTATAAGCACACTTTCTTTTTTTTGTAGATAATGGGCTAAAAATAAGACATTCATGTATTTATTGTACATCTGTTGAATTTTAGGTGCAGTTATCGATTATTTTATGAAAAGAAGCTGTCCCGTTATTTCTCTTCTGTAAAGTTTCTGTTACTATACAATGTTCTTATTTATACTCCATTGTGCTATATGACAAATAAACATTTGTTTACTACCAGAAATGGACCTTGAATTGCTCGCTGGACCACTCAGTCAATACTCAAAGTGTCCGTGTACACTTGTGCATCTCCTCCCAGTGAGAAGAGGAAAGGAAGCATTTATCTCGCTGGGATGACAGAGAATATTCTCCTAAATAATAAAAGCCTGTGTAGTAGGAATCAGATATATTCTATCTTCAGCCGTTCTTTTTATCCTGCACTTCCATGCGCACTGTTTCCCCCAATATTACATCTTTTGCCCCCATCCTTTTTTAAACACACATATCACCCATTCTCCTTCTTTCCACCCTTTAATCAATATTACAATTTCAATTGTCATCACAGTTAGTGTTATTTAGACAAAATTAAAGCCGTTTTGTGGCACGTACACCACCCTACAACCAACCAACATATATATTTTTATTGTACTTCACAGTTGAATTATGTCAATATTACACCATACGACAAAAAAAGTTGTAATCGGGAACCAAGAGGCACTTTGTTGTGCTTTTCGGAAATGCAGGCACAAGCTTTTGAATTGTGTAAAATGCTCATAGCTCCTGTTCACGTTAAAGACGACGCACTCATCCCGCAACCCAGCAGGGGAAACACGGGTCCCGTTGTGCGCACGTGTATTTCTGAAGTTGTAGTTTGGAATTTCTTTGCTGGAACTTCAGTTTTTCACATTGTCCATGAATTGCCAACGACGGCAACTACAACCAAGAACCTGCATAAAGCGTCACACAATCACACGTCCGCTGGAAACGAAGCCCGTCGGTCACCAAATAGCTGCATATAAATAAAGCATCCATAATAGAAGGCCTTGATGATCCCGTAAGGCAGATACAGTGAGGATTATGAACCGGCACATTGATGCATTCGACTGGGTCAACGACAGCACTCTCAAACCACATTTCAAAATATACACAATGGGCTCAATTATCTCAAGAGTTCATCATGTGATCCCTTGTTTACCAGCTGACAAAAATAAACACTCGGGTGTCTTTCCAGCAGCTTCAGGTCGGCGGCAGCGGAGGGCGCCGCCGCTACAAGGACTCTTCCTCGGACTCGCTGTCTGCGTTGCCCTTGGTCAGCGGCTGCAGCTCCTCGCCGTCCTGCCACAGAAAACCCACAACCGACACTTAGAACGGGGGACGACCCTGAGGACGGGAAGACGGCGTCCTCAGGAGGCCAGGAGGCCTGCAGTGACCTAAAAAAAAATAACGTGAGCTGAGGCACCAGCGCGAGCCTGAAGGCTGTTTTCACAGCGGCGAATGAGGCTTCCTCCTCTTACACAGAAAACGAGAGCCGAGCTCTGGGTACGCGCGTGGGAGGGCGGGGGAGGCTTTGCGTGGGGGTGAGGCGAGTGGGGAGAAAAGCACGTGCGCGTTTGCTGCCTACCCCTCTGGACCTCTCGAGCACCTCCCCGTTGATGACGCGCAGCCTTTCCTGCTGCAGGCTGTGGTCCAGGTCCCGGAGGCGGCTGGCGTTGTAGATGAAGATGGCCAGCAGGACCGTGGGAGCCTGGAGGAAGAAGTCCAGCGAAGGGCGGAAGTCGAAGAGGAAGAGGGAGAAGGCGGTGACCAGGACGGTGGTGATCTGGCCCGTCAGCACGTGGAACATGTTGTCTCTGAATTTCAGGATGAAGGCCACAGACAAACCAAGGGCGGCTGGGGAGACGACAGAGGACACTTTAAATAAGTCACGCGTCGAGGAAACCTAAAGGAGAGAGGTTTGGACTTGAAAAACTTTCCCAGTCACCGTCCTTTCTATTTAAACCACTTCCGGAGCCTAAAACGACCCGACAAAAGGGGCCTGTTGCAAGTAACACACGGTCACAAACTAGGATTAGGCAGTTAGATGAGTGGACTGATTCCACTCTCACTTCTGTTTGTTACACGGGAAGCTACAGCCCACAGTTGTCTGCTTAGCGTAGCATGGAGACCGGCAGCAGGGGGAACCATCTAGCTCGAATCTGTCCAGAAGGTAAAAAGCCAGCCAGGCTAATTATTTACCAACGCGCCTACGAGCCGTCAGATCAGAACGGACATCGGGACGAGTTCGCCCCGGGTTGACTCACCAGTGACCAGCACTAGACCAAGAGAGTAGACGTTGTGTCCGTGGAGGAGGCCGCAGTGCGCGGTGAGGCCCCGTGCCTCGGTGCCGAGCCCGAGGGTCAGACCGTTGAACACCAGGCCGAAGAGGTACCTGCAGAACCCACGGGGGGCAAAAAGGACCTCGGATTAGCACTCAGCGCATGCAAGCGCCTGCTGCCTCGCCGCGTTCGACGCGCGCGTCGCTTCTCACAGTTTGCTGTTCTGGATGAAGATGCTCTCCGTGAGCTGGTCTCCTTCTTTGAGGATCTTCTCGTTGTAGATGTTGGCCATGGCGGAGATGAAGCACTGGAGGAGGAGCAGGATGTGACCCACACCCAGGGAGCGCAGCTTCTGCACCAACGTGTCCCTCCAGGCCTGCGCGGGGAGGGAGGACACCCACGACTCACTGGCACTGTGTGGGGGGGAGAAGAGACGTGCAGAAGGGGCCGAAGCCAACAACTCTCAACTCAAGCCTGGACCATCATTAAAAGCACCTGCTGTTCCTCATCTGCTCCAGCAGCTGCGTGTAGAGAAGGCAGGAGTTGGACGGGGTGGAGAGGGGGTTCGAGTGGAGCCCTGGCAGAGCTGTGGAGTTTTGGCTAACCCCTGATCCCGTCGTCAAGGAAACGATGGACAGGAAGAGGATGAACAACGCTGCCCACTGAACCCACGACAGGCGCCGCCTAGAAGACGAGATGAGGGAAAAAAAAAAGACTTTAGTTTCATTCGCGGTTGACGTTGAGCAAATCACGATGCCCAATTTGATTAGGCCAACAAATAAAAAAGAGGCATCTTTAAATATTACACTTACTTCAAAACAACTCTGAAGAGCACCGCAGTGGTCAGGATGACAAAGTTGGAGTACAACACCGCCATGGCCTGAGGACAAGAGGAGCCACAGCAGAACATTAAACAGCGAGTCCTCGGGCAGGACGTTTGGTAAAAGCGAGTCTGATACGAGAAGGTCCAATCTACACGGAGATAACGTTTCACTCTCGAGTTAAAAGGAGGTTTTCACCGTTTACCAATCGGCTGTGGTTTGGCGTGTTAGTGCTGGATGAATAACTGGAGCCAGTGGTCACGTGTAAGTATCAAAGTCTTACATTGCATTACATGTCATTTAGCTGACGCTAAATTAAGTAGTTAAGTGCTACAATTTGTTAGTCTTTTAGTGGAGGTGGAGTCTGAAGAGGCGTGTCTTTAGTCTGAAGACGTGAAGGCTCTCGGCGGTCCTGGTGTCTTCAGAGAGCTCGTTCCACCATTTCGGAGCAAGGACAGCAAAGAGTCTAGATGATCTAGTGGAGTGTTTTGCTCTCAGTGAGGGAGGGACGAGCAGTTTCGAAGATGCAGAGCGGAGAGCGCGGGTTCGGGATGTCGGGTCCTCACTAACCGGCTGCAGGTAAGTCATCACGTAGAAGATGATGAGGTTGTCGAGGAAGTAGAGGAAAGCAGGGACGGCCCACTTCAGGGAATTGAGGAAGGAGGCGCTGGAGGAGAAGCAGGGCTCTTTGCACGATCGTCCCTCTGACGGGACAGACGAGAAGAGCCAATAAACAAACCGTCTCACACACACACACACACACAGTGACACAGCGGTGACTTATCGCGTACCTTTGACTATGACCCTGACTGACATAGCCAGACAGAAGAGCAGCTTGAGCAACTCAGCGAGGAGATTGACGGATGCCGGCAGGAAGTCATACTTGTTCTCTGCAAATCGAGCGCAGACAAATCGTCAACCAATGTCCCGCGCAGCGAGAGGAGGATACAAAAAACCAGCTTCATAAACGCGTTGTTGGTCACCGGCGTTGGCAGAGAACTTGAGCAGCAGGATGCGGCCGGTCCCCAGGGTCACGAAGCCCAGGCCGAGGGCCAGCGTGTAGGCCGAGGAGCGGGTGCGCAGCCCGGGGCACCAGCGGCACGTCACCATGGCTACGGCCGGACGCGGAGGGGGGTCCACCTGTTCCGAACACAAACAACAACAACGACAAAGACAAAAAAAAACACGAGCTCGTGTCAAAAGATTCAGATTCCGCGAGCGTCCAGCTGAGCAGGAGGAAGGCAAAGGGACAGGTGACAGTTAAATTAACATATTGGGAGAACAAAACGAAGCGAACGAACAGCCTTAACTTGGGCTGCGAGGAGCCGAACCGGGCGTTTCATAGACTAAAAGGATTAAAAGAGAGGAGAAAGACGAACATCAGGAGTGAATTATGAAGAAGGACCCGCGTGAACGCGCTCCTCGCGACCACCGCCGCGTCTCTGAGAACGAAAAAGCCAAACGCGTTTTCCGAAGGACTCGTTAATACAATGTGAACATTGCACCGTTCTCTGGTGCTACTTACTTGTTATTCCTCTTTCTTATCCGCACCATCGCGCTTCCTGGTTTATTTGGCGCATGCGCACTGGCACGCTCAGGTTCCGCGGTGACGTCATACTCCCACGTGTGATTCGCGGATTAAAAAGGTGTTTGAGATACAGAATTACAATATCTCTTTAATGTTGTTTTTAGCACTGGGTGGTTTTAGAAAGTTTATATACACATTATATAGTACCGTAAAATACATCACAATGTATTAGTTGTTATATATTATTATATTTGTAGTAAAACATCCAATTCATTTTTAGAGTAGAAGTATCAATCTGCATTAAATGGAAATACTGTAACGTAAGTAAATGTACTATCTACTCCAAGTTGCCTGAACTTAACTTGAATATTTGAACATTGCTATTTTATACTTCTTATTCACTGGTGTTGACAGAGAACTATTTTTACGCCACTATTTTTTGTCTGACAGCTGAAGTTACCATGCCAACACGTCCAAAACACAGAAGTCAACTTCTAAATGTATTGCATCATGATATTGTCTCCGCTTTGTCTAACACACAGCTTTAATTAAACAGTAACTTCTCCCAGACAAGTTTTTTTCCACACGCTGTGCAGCAATTAGTCTGGCACCACTATACATCACAGCCGGGTGTGGTGGCAAATATTACAGACTATTTACACACCCGGCTATGATCTTAAGAAACGTTTGACTTTTGACCCAAAAGAACACGTAACAGCTGTGTTTTAATCCTATCAAAATGAAAGGGGAGGTAATGCATAATTATTTACTATCTATGATGTGTGGAGTACAATATGTATTTGACTTATAACCAGTTACAGGAGGCCAGAAGAATGAAAGTAGTTAAGCAAGTACCTTAGAACAGTTGGAAAGGTGGTGATGATGATTTGTCTTCCCCATGAGGTTTGTATTAGTTCTCTGAAATCACGGCACGGAAATTACGGAAAATGTTGATGGGAATATGAGCTCACCCCCTCAGGGATGACTCACAGCAACTTTCAAATACAAGAGACAAGGAGAGCGAGAGAGGGCGGGAGAGAGAGAGAGAGAGAAGAAAACACAGGTCATTGGCCTGGGACACGATGTTTGAGTGTGTGTGTGTGTGTGTGTGTGCGTGTGTGTGTGTGTCAGTGACAGATAAAGCACAGAGCGGGACGCCTCTCCGTCAGATCACAGCTGCTTCACTCGGTACAGTGGACCGGTTTTCACCTGGAGGGTTGATGCCAGACATGAGGTGTCTCCTGCCTGTCCTGGTCCTTCTGACTGTCCTTCATGTCAAAGCGGACCAGCAGCGGCAGAACAAGGAGAGACACTATTACGTCGCCGCTGTGGAGATAGACTGGGACTACTCTGGAAATGAGACAAACAGGTAGGACACCGGTGATCAGACTCGCGACTGGTCGGTTTTGGTTTAATAGGTTTGTCCTCGTTTAATTCCACTGGCAGCTTGTTATTTGTCCTACAAATAGTCAAGTGTCAGACACACACAAACACATAGACCCACATTTGCTGGCAACGTTTAAAGAAGCTTGTGCATATCTTAGAGTCCATATCTGCTGGTGGGAAAAACGTGTGTTCTGCTTCATATTTTGGATTTTTCTGCATTTCCTCAGGTTTGGTCCCACCTATAAGAAAGTGGTCTTTCGGGAGTACGACAGAGACTTCAGACAGGCCAAGACTCATCCATCCTGGTTAGGTAAACTCCAAAGAAACGCTTCCCCACAAGGGACAGTTCACCCCCAAATCCCCTGAAGTGCGCCTCATCAATCTAGATTGTTTTGGTGTGAGTTGCATAGTTCGAGATATCAGCCGTGGAGACGTATCGATCAGAATAACTGCGTCTGAATGACTCTGTGTTCAGATACGTGACCTGGTTACTCTTAAGATAAACAAATGTTGTTGTGCGCAGTTTTCCCAGAGGAAATGTTCTCTTTTAAACCACTGACACTTAACGGCCCTGAATGCATATTTTCTTGACTTTATATTTATAATAACTAAAGAACAGAATGCTTATAATTGCTGTTATATATTATTTCCTTTCTAAGAGAGGATCAGGTCACTTAGATAGAAAATGATATGATATATAGCTACATATATACATGTGTGTGGGCCTGTTGAGAAATCGTATTTGCTGGTGAACAACAGGCAGTTATGACCCAGCAGGACTTTAAATCCCCGCTGCGCCGTGACGACCCTCGTTTGCGTCCTCTCTCCGCAGGTCTGCTCGGACCCACTCTGAGGGCCGAGGAGGGCGAGACCATCGTGGTCACTTTCAGAAACATGGCCTCTGGACCGCACAGCATCCACCCCCACGGGATCGCCTACGGGAAACAGTCGGAGGGTGGGTGCTTGTTCATTCAGCTGCGGACGCTCTCGGCCTGGTCCGCCGACGTGGATGCTCGTGTTACTGGTTCCGATGTTTACACAGGATTAGCCAACACAACAAACAGCCTTGTTTGTCTGTTCCTAAAATGATTAACCAGGACGGGCAGCTTGTCAGAGTAGACTGTACTGGAGTCCAGCACGAAGCTGTCTGTGTCCAGTAGAGATGACTGTAGGAAATGGACAGGAAGCCCTCCTTCATTTGCTCTTAATGCAAAAGTCAAGGTTCAGATTGATTTTAAAATGTAAGAGTAGCTTGTAGGAAATTCTTCATTACGTCTTTTTTGTCAGGAAATTCAATAATCTCCTCAAACCCTTGAGGGGGAAAATGGGATTTAATTAATTGGACCGTTCCAACTTGATTTTCCTTTGGTGCATAATGAATATATTCATCTGTTGCTCAGGACGAATGCTTTGTTTGCGTTTGCAGGGGCCAACTACTTCGACAACACGTCGCAGAAGGAGAAAGAGGATGACGTGGTGCAGCCCAACGGCCAGCACGTTTACTACTGGGAGGTGACGCCGGAGGTTTCTCCACAGGAGCATGACCCCACTTGCCTCACCTACACCTACGTCTCCCACATAGACGTCGTGGAGGACTACAACTCGGGGCTCATTGGCACTTTGCTCGTCTGCAAGTCTGGTAAGCAGCAAAGACTCTCAAGTTTCAAATCCCAAAGCATCATTTGCGGTTGCGTATTTGCGATTGTTCTGGGTGCCTTTCAGGCAGCCTGGATGCTTCCGGGCAGCAGGTGGACGTCCACCAGGAGTACGTGTTCCTCTTTGGGGTTTTTGACGAGAGCCAGAGCAAGTACGAGCCAAACAGCCATGGCAACCATGTGAAGTACACCGTCAACGGATACGTGATGGGGTCGCTGCCCGGTTAGTCTGTCGAGATCTAAGAAACATGACATGAACAGGAGACCTCAGGATGATTTCCTGGTTAATAAATAAACCTCCATTCTAAGTCAGTGCACAAGGTATTTGAAACGTTAAGTAGCCATGACAACAGTTCCGCTTCACGCTACCAAAGTGAAGACTTGGTCTTGATATATATTGCATTCAAACTAAACGGTCTGCAAACACACTTTAAAAAACTAAACATTAATTAAATATAGCCTAATATTTTTAGGTTACAATTATTTAATCAATAACCTTTCAGACAGAAATTAAAACTGCCCAATCTTCCTTGATTACACATCAGTTTTCTGTTGTGTCTATAATCTGGATGCTTCTCCTACCACACATATATATATATACATATATATATATATATATGTGCAAATATAAACATACATATATATATATATATATATATATATTGAAAACTGATGTGTAATCAAGGAAGATTGGCAGTTTAATTTCTGTCTGAAAGGTTATTGACTAAATAATTGTAACCTAAAAATATTAGGCTATATTTAATTAATGTTTAGTTTTTTAAAGTGTGTTTGCAGACCGTTTAGTTTGAATGCAATATATATCAAGACCAAGTCTTCACTTTGGTAGCTTGAAGCGCTATATATATATATATATACATATATATATGTATATATATATATGTATATATATATATATATATATATGTATATATATGTGTATATATATATATATATATATATATATATATATATATATATATATATATATATATATATATATATATATATATATATATATATATATATATATATATATATATATATATATATATAAGATATATATATATATATATATATATATATAAACACTCCAGAGGGAACACAAAGTCAGCTACATTTTCCCCTCCTCTGTCCAGACGTCAGTGTGTGCGCCTTCGCCTCTGTGAGCCTGCATCTGGTCGGTATGAGCTCGGAGCCTGAGGTGTTCTCGGTGCACATGAACGGCCAGGTGCTGCGGCAGACCGGGCACAAAGTGTCCTCGGTGGGCCTCATCAGCGGCTCCACCGCCACCGCCGGCATGGTGGCCCTCCACGCGGGCCGCTGGCTGCTCTCCTCGCACACCGTCAAGCACATGGAGGGTAAGAGTTCTCTCGCATGGACACATCGCTGTCGTCGTACACGTAGCGTTGACCCGCGTGTGCTTGTGCCGTTGCAGCCGGCATGCACGGCTTTGTGGATGTCAAACAGTGTGACGGCTTCAAGGCCCCGAAGCGAAGGATGACAGTGGCAGAGAAGCGACACAGCAAGGTGTGGACGTACTACATAGCTGCTGAGGAAATCACCTGGGACTACGCACCCAACATGCAGGAACACATCGACGGGTAAGCAGCCTTTACAGATGCACTTCAGAAATCTGCAGGAAATGAAATCCTCTGTGTGTGATATTTGTAAGGAGCTACTGTAGTCCAAGCATTTAAAAGAAACAGTATACAGTATATTGCTGATCAGCTAAACATTGTATATATATATATATATAGAAATGGTGTATTTCCAACAAGATACCAATGTCCCCAAGTTAAATAGGTTCTTCAATGTGCAGGGACTTCAAGCTCCAGTACCTCAGACAGTCGTCAAAACGCATCGGTGGGAAGTACAAGAAGGCGGTGTACACGCTGTACAAAAACGAGTCGTTCACTGACAAGCTGGAGTCCAAGCAAAGGAGAAATGAGCTCGGGATCTTGGGCCCGGTGATCAAAGCGCAAATCAGAGACGTCATCAAGGTGAGATCGTTTTCAATTAGCACCTTGCCATCAAAATCACATTTAAACTGGAGAATTGCATAAGAACCATTAAAAACAAATTGGATAAGGAAACATCATTCGTCGTATTCGTCGTTCAAAATACATGGCAGTACATTCTTTGCACTCCAGCGGTGCTGCCTCACGGCGATGAGAGTACAACGTACATCAGTGAGTGGGAGCACAGATAACGTGTGTCGCACTAACCCTTGTTAAAGTATTAATCACTGTCTGCAGACAGCGTGCCCCCGCTCATCATCCTGTCCTTTCAGATTGTTTTTAAGAACAAGGCCTCCAGGCCCTACAGCATCTACCCACATGGACTGACGATAGAGAAGTCAGAAGAGGGAGTCAACTACCCAGCAGGAGGTATTGAAATCTCAAATGGGTTGAAAAATACGGGTACAATGGATTGTCCTCTTAATTTAAATAAACGATTGAGCTATACCTCACTCATGTTTGCCAGGCAACCAGTCCCACGGCGTCCAGCCGGGGGAGACACACACCTACCTGTGGAGAGTGGTGGACGAGGACGAGCCTTCCGAAGCGGACTCGCAATGTTTGACGCGACTGTACCACAGCGCGGTAGACACACCGCGCGACATCGCCTCGGGCCTGATCGGACAAATCCTCATCTGCAAGAGCCAGTCGCTCAACATCAGGGGCGTGCAGGTAAAAGGATGCTGCCACGCGTGCTAGAGGCTCTGTTGGTCCTCGCTGCCAGTCGCGAAGGAACACATCCCTCCCAAAGGTGTGCCAAAAGTCTTGTTTGGGTTTGATTCCCCAGCTGAAAGCAGACAAGGAGCAGCATGCCATGATGGCCGTGTTCGATGAGAACAAGAGCTGGTACATGGATGAAAACGTCCGCAAATATTGCGATCGGTCCCAAGTCAACAAGGCCGACCCGGACTTTTACAAGTCCAACGTCATGCACAGTAAGTTTCTGCCTGAGCCGGATAAAAGCTCCCTCAAGCTCACGTGACACATGAGTGACAACGATGTCACTCCATTGTTTGTTCAAACATTCAACTTGCTGTAATCGGAACTGACCTTTCGTGTAAATTTCCACACAGCAATCAACGGTTACGTGTTTGAGAGCGGCGAGCTCCTGGGCTTCTGCAACGGCGAGATCGCCACGTGGCACGTGTCCAGCATCGGAGCCCAGGACTACATCCAGACGGTCACTTTCTACGGCCATCCGTTCGAGCTGAACGGGCGGACGGAGGAGTTCCTCAGCCTGTACCCAATGACCGGAGAGACCATCAGCATGAGGATGGACAACATCGGTCAGTCACGGCGCGCAACGGATTACAGATGCAGCAGTTTCTTGTTGTGTTGAGAGCGTCCTGCAGCATGTTTCAAGGAATTGGAAACAAGAACTTTCGTCATTTGGTTGTGTCTATATGCATGTTTTTTGCTTTTTACCTTTGCATTGCTTGCTGCTGTGAGGACCACCATAGATCATCATGTAGACATAGAGAGGATTTTATCTGCATGTAAAGGAAAGTGACAGTTTTTCTTTTTTCATTTCCCACTTAAACCAGGTGTGTGGCTCATGGCTTCCCTGAATTCCCACGAGACAACCAAAGGGGTGCGCGTGAAGTTCAATGACGTTGAGTGCTATCGTGACTACCAGTATGAAACCTCTGAATATGCGGACGCAGGACCGCGCAAAGAGTTTACTGTGTGGAACCCTCCGAGTTTGGACGAAATCAAGAAGGAAGAGAAGAAGCGCAAACCTGCAGAGAATACACCAACGGAGACGGACAATTACACGGACATGTTTGCCACCGAATTAGGTCTCAGGTCTCGAAAGAACCAATCCACTGAGCCAGATGTGGAAGAGCTGGACCTCTCTGCCCTCGACTATGATGCTATCAATGTGCCTGATGGAGATTTGAGTATCAACCTGAAGAATGTAAGTCAGATTTTCGATCCAAAGCCAAATACACTAAATGAGACATCATTTTCAAATTGGCTAAACCTCACTGCAGTTAATTTGCTGAACCAAAGCATCAGTGAGAACAGCACACACGTGCAGAACAACACCGCACCAGCAACCTTCGGCAACTCTTCAAGCATAGTGCTAAAGAATGACAGCATAACCACAAACAGCAGTGTGTCTCCAGTGGCAAGTATTGGTAACGATACAGTGTCCACCACAGAGAACATCACGGTTCACAACGCAACGAGTTTATCAACGGTTGGAAATGTATCAACAGAGATTAGCAATCTTACAGAAACTTCACGTGGAAATCTCAGTTCGGTCATGGAGGCCGAGGGAACGAATGTGACCCTGACCGCTGATGACCAGACTCCTGAGGTCTCCGAGGAGAAATTCACCAGAGGGGACGTGTTCCTTTACTCCGAGCCGCCGTCCGACACCAGCGTCGACCTTCTCCACAACTCACCGGAGGTCAACGCCACATCTCTGCCACACGGGGCAGAGGAGGAAGAACATATAGTCAAGACTATTCCAGCCAATTCAGGCGGTGAAAATGTAACACACAGTCTGCTCTCAACAGGGGGTCCGCAGAATGTCACAGCGAATGTGTCCAGATCGAATGCATCAGAGACGATTCGTTCAGAGAGAAGGGAGAACGTCACAGCGCTTCCTGGTGAGCGGAGTCGCACATCCTCTGCAGAAGGTTTCGCCAACGAGACGGACCTGTCCCTCTCCAGCCACGGAGAGGAGCTGAGCGCCTCGGACAGCACAGAAGAAGTTCTGATCTACCTTTCAGAAAACAAGAGAGCGGTGATTAAGACCACCGCAGTCAAAACCGAGGGGCACAACTGGACCTATGAGGTTACTCACCAAATGGAAACCGAGGAGATGTCTGAAGACATGATGAAGTATTTGGGGCGAGAGACCACTCAAACGGCGCCACCGCCAAAAAAGAAACTCAAGAGGGTGAACCTCCGAGACTTGCCCGACAAGGGCAAAGTCTTGAAAACCAAGAAGAAGAAGGAATACAAGCCTCAGTCCAGGAGTAGCTTACCGTTCTCTCCTCGTGGATTCCATCCAGACCTGACCCCCCGCGGATCCAGACCTCCTCTTCCGCAACCCGTCTCCGATGAGGAGGAGGAGCTCATCAACGCGCCCGTCATCATCGGCGTGCCTCGACCCGATTTCAGCGACTACGAGCTCTACGTTCCCGGGGACGAACCGGATCATCTCGACCTGGATGGGGAAAACGTGAAAGAGAATGAATACGAGTTTGTGACCTACATGGACCCCTACAAAAGTCACGAAGACTTCAAGGCTCTGAACCTGGATGACACCACAAAATACTACCTAAAACTCTCAAGCCCAACTGACAGGATATATTTCATTGCTGCAGAAGAGGTCGAGTGGGACTATAGTGGCTACGGAAAGACGTAAGCTCAGATCGCAGGCACCAAAGCTTATATGACATTACATATACATAAATGCATGCATGCAAAGCTGAAATATGATTATTTTCATTATGGTCGACCCAGGAGGCAAGACAAGTCGCAACAAAACAGCAGAGAAACCAAATTCACCAAGGTGGTTTTCCGAGGTTACATGGACAGCAGCTTCAACACACCTGACACCCGTGGAGAGATGGACGAGCATCTCGGGATCTTGGGACCCGTCATCAGGGCCGAGGTGGACCAACGCATCATGGTAGGACGGCGTCTTACTGCAGTCTATTCTTCGTTTGATTGCTGCTATAGTTTGAGGGAAGGGCTAGCCATGCTCTCTTCATAGGTAACAAAATAAGTGTGGCAGCATAAATTACGTTTGTAGATTACCTTGTTATGTCTCAGTAGTTGGTTTTGTACCTCATTTATTTTTGCCGTACTTTCATATTTGCATGACACACAGAGTTAAATCCTTTTCACTAACTCTCTGCAAGGAAATTGATGAATCATTTTCCAAATTACATAGCTATTTTTTTGAAGCCACAATGCGTCTTTTTGTCTTGTAGGTTGTGTTCAGGAACAAAGCCAGCCGTCCGTACTCCATACACCCAAATGGGGTTTTGTATAACAAGCAGACCGAGGGCCTGTCCTATGAGGACGGCTCCGAGTACTGGTACAAATATGACAACGACGTCCAACCCAACACCACCTTCACGTACATATGGAAGGTTCCTCCCCAGGCTGCCCCAACGCCAGGCGAGTCTCACTGTCGGACTTGGGCCTACTATTCAGGCGTCAACCCTGTGAGTAATCTGTACTTTGCGCATAGTTTTTAACTAAATTTGTGTTTAGAAATGTAGATTGTGTGTAGGTGTGCCATTTACAGATTAAAGCCTTTAGAATTTAAGTCTGTGACTGTGTCACCCCCTAGTGGCGGTACAAAAACATGGATGGGACAGAAATTACGCACAGGGCAGATACAGGGGCGGACAAGATAGAATCCAAGCGGTAGCTTAATGTGCTATGTTAAATGTGTACGTTGGGGTGTGGAGCTGTGCAATATTAACCATATCTGGGCTCTTAGGAAAAGGACATCCACTCTGGCCTGATTGGGCCTCTGCTGGTGTGTCGAGAGGGAACTCTGAGCAGGACAGAACCCCTAATGAGGGAGTTCACGCTGCTCTTCATGACCTTCGATGAGTCGCAGAGCTGGTACTACGAGCAGAACCACGAGTTGATGCAAAGGAAGAGCAGAAGGAGAGCGATGGGATACAACTCCAAGGACACCCTCAAATTCCACTGTAATTAGTATTAGTAAAAAGTACCTTCAACTAGCCTGGATTTAATTATGTATCATCGCAAACCTTATAAATTTGATAATCTAGAATTCGTTCATATGCGTTTTTCATGCATTCAATATTGATTAGTTCCAGAAAAAACCCTCAAATGATAAAAATGTCTATTTGCACGTCGTTTCACCAGCTATCAACGGCGTCATATACAACCTGAAGGGCCTGAGGATGTACACCGACGAGCTGGTGTGCTGGCACCTGATCAACGTGGGTTCTCCCAAAGACTTTCAGAGCGTCCACTTCCACGGACAGACGTTCATTCACAAGAAGATCACCAGCTACCGGCAGGCCGTCTACCCGCTGCTGCCCGGTGAGCATCACCAAAACCTCAAAACTGTAACGCGCAGAGTCGCCATTGTCCATACACGATGCCGGCGCCGTGGCAGAGGCTTTGTGTTCCAAAGGTAATGACGTTTTCACGCTGTGTTGTCAGGGAGCTTTGCCACTCTGGAGATGTACCCATCCAAACCCGGCCTGTGGCAGCTGGAGACAGAAGTGGGTCTGAACCAACAGAAGGGCATGCAGACCCTCTTTCTTGTCCTGGATAACGGTACTGACGGCGGAGCGTTGCCGCAGCATTTAAAGGCACTGCCGTGCGGGTGTTTTGACATTGTCGTGTTGTTTGTCTCCTCCAAGAGTGCTACCGTCCGCTGGGTTTAGAATCGGGCAGCGTGAAAGACGAGCAGATCACAGCCATCAACAGCAGAGGTAGCCGCGCCTCCCGACAGATGCACTGCAGTCCTGCTGCAGCAAAATGACCTGTGAAATCATTCATGTAAAGTTCATGTCACAGAGGAGTGACAATAATACTCTTTTTCAAAGGCTACTGGGAGCCGCATCTGGCCAGATTGAACAATAACGGTAAAATCAACGCATGGAGCACAGAGCAGAACCGGAGCTGGATTCAGGTAAGTGTTCTAAGTGAGTGCATTTGAGTATATTTCCATATTTGCTTTCCATGTGAATAATGTACCTTTTATATCTCCCTTGCACAGGTAGACTTCCAGAGGCCCGTTGTGATCAGCCAGGTGGCCACACAGGGAGCCAGGCAGATGTTCCAATCCCAGTTTGTGGAAAAGTTCTCCATCTCCTACAGCACCGACCACCGGAACTGGAACTTCTACAAGAGCGACAGCAGGGACTTCAAGAAGGTGGGAGGAGTTTGGTCACTTTTGGTCAGCTCCAAACTGAGAGAGACGGCTGTGATCCCCATGTGTCTCCCCCTCTTTCACCAGGTGTTCACTGGGAACCAGGAAGTCTACGAGACCAAAAAAAACACCTTCAATCCTCCGGTGATTGGACGGTTCATCAGGCTACACCCGCTGCAATGGTGCAGCAAGGCCACAGTCCGCATGGAGTTCTACGGCTGTGAGCTGGACGGTAAGATGTTACTGCACGAAATACGCCAAATCTTCTTATGGATTGCACTTAAATTGAAACTCATTATTACTCATTGTACACACTCTTGCTTTTGCACATTTTTATGTTTTTTGAGACACATAACTAGCTTCTTTTTTCCTTTTTGGGGGGCCAAAACTGGCCAAAAGATTCTCTTAATTGCATGATATTGAGTAAGCACACTACGAGCTGGTTATTTATTTTGTCAAATGTAGTGTGAATTTTTTTTTAAAACATATTTGTGGGTTAACCAAATTTTTGGAAGAAATGCCGAGTTGGGATTCCTGTAAATGTAACATTTCTAATCTCGTGCCTCAGGCTGCTCGGTGCCTCTGGGGATGGAAAGCGGACTGATAGAAGACCATTTCATCACAGCCAGCTCCTCAGCCTCCAGCTGGTACTCTGGACCCTGGAAACCTTCTCTTGCCCGCCTCAATAAACAGGGCACAATCAACGCATGGCAGGCCAAGGTACAAACCCTAAAAACCGACCCTTGAAGATGTGTGACTTGTGAATTAAATACCTCCATGGATTCCTTTGGTCGCCCGTGAATGCGAGCACGTACTGCGCTGCGTGTCAAAGCTCTTGTCTCTCTCTCTCTCTGTGCCATCCACAGTACAGTGGCATGGACCAGTGGCTTCAGGTGGAGCTGCCCCGGATTAAAAAGATCACAGGTATCATAACGCAAGGAGCAAAGTCTCTGGGGAAAGAGATGTACGTCATGTCCTACTCCATCATGTACAGCGGCAATGGGATACACTGGATCCATTACACAGACGACGACAGCGTCCCTTTCAAGGTGAGCGGTGGCAGGATGACATGGGAATGGCATTAAAGTAACCGGTGCCTCTGGAAAGAACAGTTTCTAAACCACATCTTTCTCTCTCTCAAGACTTTCAAAGGAAACAGCAACAACAACGACCACGTGAGGAACTACATCCACCCTCCTATTTTCTCCCGCTTCGTTAGAATCGTCCCGAGAAGCTGGTGGAACTCCATCACCATGAGAATAGAACTGCTGGGCTGTGAATTTGAGTGAAATGATGGGGGGAGGGGGTGTTAAGTCAACCGTGAGCATGCACGAGTCCATTCCGAGGTCCACTCCCACACACCGGGTCGCGTGTGGAGGACGCTGCATGCACAAATATATCAAAGCTTTTAAATGCAGTTAAAAACAAGAATAGAATTACCTCGATTGCTTAAATCGATACTCGTAAAATGTGAAAAGTGTTTAGTTAAAGATAAAAGCTGCACAGTTAAAATGAACTTTAAAACTCATAGAGAAGTGAACTACGTGTGTGTAATCCAAACCTTTTGGTCAGCAGATTTATGTTTTAGAAATATTACATTTTGTCCATCACCAAATTACTACCAATGAATGTAAATATGTAAGTAGAGAGCCTGTAATTTATTTTTTAATAAATATGTTAACATCATTCTTATATTCCTTGTGAGGACATAAATGGATGGGTTCCGTTTGCCTTGGCGTCCCACGTGTGAGTAACGCTGATATCTTCTCACGGTGTCACCACGGTGTCACTTGTGGCACCTCTGCTGGCGCCGGGCCCCTCGTTACGCAGCAACCTCGGGGGCCTCCGCTGTCTGTTTGCCGACCACGTTAACCCGGGCACCGGAGGTGTGGAAGAATCTGCGTGGCCGTCCTACTAATCCGCGAAGACAAGTGGACTCACAGAGACCTTCGCTGGCTGTCTGGAGCTACGGGAAAAACCGACGACCAAAGTCTGAGAAACGAGTGACATCGAGCCGGAAATGTTGGTGTGAGATAATCCACAGGATGAAGAAACCTCTCACCAGCAAGCACCTGATGAGAGGAGAGGACATGCTGTGCATGTACAAGCTCTCTGACCCTCAACACGGTCCGCAGATCGTTCTGCTGTTCCACACATGCCGAGCAGACTGAGCGCTCAGAAACAAGCCAATAGGTCGACTGTTGAGATGCGCTCATTGGGGCAACGCTGAGACAGAAGGTCCAGAGGTTGAGAAGAGCTGACAGGCTGCAGCTGTGACGGCGCACCGCTAGATGTCGCTGGGGCCTCATCTGAAGATCTGAAGATCATAAAACCTTTTGATGTCGCGTGTTGTGCGATTGACTTTGTCCTGGTAACGTCAATGGAGATAAGGAATAGATCTCAATGACTTCAGACCTTCAACGTCCTGTCCAGCATGGTGCAGAACTCAGATTATGAGTTTAAAAATGACCTAAATATAAATGAAAAATCATTCACTAATACTGGGGCCCTATGTTAACTATTCCAGCTATGTCAAATATTAATGAGGAAATATCCAGATCCTTCCATGCGAAAGAAAGAAGCTAGAAGCCACATGTGCTCATTGGAAAGTAAAAGGGCCCAAAATATATTAGACCACATCAGACTGTTGTAATAATATTATCAAATCCATCTTTTACAGAGGTATTTAGGGTTATAACATATTCCTGGTGGAGATTTCTGGATACCATATATATATATATATATATATATATATATATATATATATATAGAATATTCAGAATTCTATACTATACTTGGGTTGTTAAATCTCCAACACTGTATTTTTAATAAGCAGATCACCTTTTTAGATGTCAGATGATTATTTGCGATCAATAAGCGATCATTTATGTTCTAAATGACAGGGGGAGGGAAATATTTGGCTTCTACGGACAATTTTAATTAGCCTCCTCAAGCAACAAAATCGTAAGTTGTAAACTAAGTAAGTATACTCTTTCCTTTCCACCGTTGCTATGTATTTGCTATATAACATTTTTAATCTTATTATCACAATCCGGGCCAGGGAGTGGCCCGTCCGGTCTGCCCGGTGATGGATACGAAAAGCACCGCGTCATGATTGTTATTAATACACTCGTGTCGGTGCCACGGGAGTTGTTTACAAACATACCTCACGAGGGAGTCGCCGGGGGGGAGTGAAACTTATATTGGCTGCTGATCCCGCGCACGCGCATTCACGCACGCACAAAAAAAAGGCGCGAGTCCACGCAACAAGCCCCACCCCCCTCCCCACCACAACACCCCCGCCCCTCCCTCTCCGCTGCGGGCGCCACGCCCCCACGCAGCGGGGCTCCTTAAAAAGCGGCGGTCCTCGCGCTGGTGGGTTTAGATCAAGACCTTTCGCACGCAGGACTCCGGCGGACATACAGCTGTATATTCACACAGATCTGATCCCTTCTCTGGAATAATGAAGTCTTCAAAGCTCAAACCTCAAGGTAAATCAAGTTATTGTTTTATTTCTATCCTGTATTATCCGTTAGTCACATCTGTACGCCTTTGCTTTTATTGACACAGTATTTAAAATAGCCTACAGTATTCTAACGAGGAATGATTCATAACCGCCGTGCCTTTTAATGTTTGTTTTTAAAGAATATATATATTATGTAATAACTTTTTATAGTTATGTGGCCATGAACTTCCAAGTTTTTGGAAGGCTGTTTTTTTTTTTTTTTTAAATCAATCTGACAGCTGAAACTCCAAAACAAACGTCTCTGTTAATTGGAAAGTAATTAACGTCACGTGTTTGATTGGCTCTGATTCGTTTTCTCGCAGCGCGCTTCGTCAACCAGGAGGATCTGAGCGACGTGCTGTGCGAGTTCGACGCGGTGATGGAGGACTTCACGTCGCCGGTGGAGAAGCGACACTTCAGGTACGACGAACACCTGAAGACGATGAAGAGGAGGAGCAGCGCGAGCGTCAGCGACAGCGGCATCAGCGACTCCGAGAGTGAGTGCGCGAGCCATTGTTCATGCGCATGCACGTTGCCCCCTGCTGGGGGGGGGCTTTTGTTTTCCAAATGTGACAACGAAAAGACATCATGCATCCGGGCGTCTTGACCCAGCGGAGGTCTCAGACTGTGTATTTAAATTGGGCAATACAAAGCAACCCCCCCCCCCCCCAGGGTAAGTACAGGCCAATCGTAGAAATGAGAGTACTTCTCTGTCTGGGGGGGGGGGGTGTATCTGCAATATGTACATATGTGTATGCAATATGCGTGCAGCTTCTTATCAGGGGGGGCACCGTTGCATGCATGCATGCATGCACGCCGTGCTCTCTCAGAGAGGGTTGCTTGATCACTGTCCAGAGATTTGGGCCGTCAGATGAAGCCCCCGCTGCAAGTTTGTGGCCCACCGACGCCCACAAGGTTGTACTGTCACGCATCGGCGTCATGTATCATCTGACCCGAAGAGAGCTGCAGAGAGCGATCGTATTCAGAGATTCAGGTCCCGGGCGAGGTTTCCCTTCACATGTGTAAGCGCGTTGCACCTCCGCGGGAGGACGTGGAAAGATCTGCTAGAGTCTTCAGCTTTGTGGAGAGAAAAAAAAATTCCAGAGATACTCATTCCCTGCGTACCAGACGGCAACTTGCTTCTTTTCTGGGACTCCAGAGCCTCCACCCGGCTTTTTCCTCTTGAGGGTCCCCTCTAGGTTCACTAATCCAGCTCGACGTCCTAACACCTAAGGTTCCTTCATTAGGTGGGAGGCAAAAAGGGGAGGGTGTGGTGGGGGGGGGGGGGGCAGATTCCTGCGTGAGGCTTGTCCTCTCAATGGCAGAGTCCGGTGAAGAGGGACCTGTCCCAGGCGGGGACGGCCTATTGTCTCGCGGCATGAGGGATGGATGGCGTGCAGACTGCAGGTGCAAACAGTGCGGCGCCCCCAGTTTGGGGCGGGGGCCAGAGATCGAGAGATGGTGGAACATGCATGTACACATGCATGAGCACGAATGAGAACTGTCTCTCTTCCTCCGGCCCCCATCAGACAGTGAGAGTTCATCTGGTTGAGTTTGTGTGTGTGTGTGTGTGCACACGATAAGCACACGCATGTGTGCGTCGGGGGGGGGGGGGGTGTCATTAGAGGAAAACCCCACGATTAAGCCGCTCCACTCACACACATCAGACGTGACGGCCGTCTGATCCAGTTGTTCCGGCTTTTGTTTTCTCGTGTCCCTCTCTCGACAGGTGCAGAGTCGCTGAACAGAAACAGCTTCAGCTTCAGTGACGAGCGGCTGAACTCCCCCACCGTGTTCTCCCCCACCACCGGCACACCGCCCCTCATGTCCCCCAAACGTGAGCCGCCCTCCTCGTTCACACCGATGAAATAAGTGATACACAATACACTCGTTTGCTGTCCCGTGACGTGCGATTGAGAGTCTCTTTCTGTCCCCCCCCCCCCCCCCGCAGCCAAACTCGGCGACACAAAGGACCTGGAAGACTTCATCGCCGACCTTGACCGGACGTTAGAGAGTGAGTGACAACGCGGCCCAGCTAACCCCTCGGCGAATTAGGCCGCGTCGACATCATGTCATAAAGTGACCCGGGAGGCATGAGGGAGGTCGGGCGGGTCACGTGGACCTCCGGGGGAGGGAACTTTGATGAAAGTCGAGCGTGGACACCACGTGGCACCGCGTGGACTCCACTCGGCCCCGCCCCACAGAAGGGAACCCCGAGGAGGCCACTTTAGTGGCAGAACGTCGCAGATGGTGTTAGACGTAGCATACGTGGCACATCTCGGCTCTTGACTGGCCGGCTTTTGAGTGTTCGAACTTGCATCAGAGTATAAAAGGAATGTGCGAATGTGCCGCAAACCTGGCCTCAAAATTTCGACTGTAAATAGCAGGAATGGAACGAGACGAAGGCGTTGCATCCATGTTGTTCCCTCCACTGCTTTTTTACAGGTCTGCAAAGCTGGACGTACAACCAGCCGGTATGGCAGGCAGGCACACCCCCCCTCGCCCACCCCCTCCTCCCCTCCCGTTAGCCCCGGAGGAGGCCCACTAGTGTTTTTACGGCGAGCGGCCTGTAAAACGCGGCCTGATCTAATCGTGTCCGTCTCCGTCTCTCCTCAGGCATGTGACGGGGAGGCTCACAGTCGTCATGGAGAGTAGCCATGAGGGAGGGAGTGGACGTCTGGACCCCACCACCCCCCCAACCGAACAGAACCCCTGAGCAGCTAACGCAGAAAACCACCCAACAGGACGCAGCTGGTTGGCTCCAGCGCGGCCCGCGGCGTCCTGGAGTCGACGGAGCTCCACGTTGCGTTGAGGGGAACCTGAGGACAGGATGTAAGGCCCCCGCTGGAACGCTGTGAGGACGTGGAATCGATGCTGCAAGGAGTCACTGGAACATTTATCGTTATATTCACCCCCCCCCCCCCCTCCCCCAACAGACCGGGTCACACTCCCTCATCCAAAACTTGAGCTGGAAGAGTATTTAAAAATTGCTTTTTATAATAGAAATATATTAGTAATTTTATAGAGCTTCTTATTGTAAAATTTTCTGTCTTTTTTGGGGAAATATATTTTTATATCTTATGTAAATATTAATTGCTTCGAGTTCTATTTGCTTTGGTATTAATCCATTATAAAAAAACAACTGGAAAGCGATATGTGTATTTAATACAGCTACTGCCTGCCGGACGCGATATTAAAGAATGAAATGTTGTTACTTTACTAAAAGTGCCTCCTGTCTTTATTTTGGTCTGGAAGCTTCCGTCTGTTTGTTTCCGTAATCAGAATTTAATGTTCAGCTTTATATTATCTGTATTTTATGAAGCCACAAACGTGAAATAACACATTTTACATTGAATTGATATCTTTAAAGTCCCCACATCTATTTTAAAATCAAATCTCACACAAGAAGACATTGATTACCGCCGGGGGGGGCGAGGAGTCCAGATGATTGGCAGAATCGGAGCGGTGACGCAATAAGGATCTTTGAGTGACAGCTGGCCCCCCAGCTATTTATCAACCCCCCCCCTGCTCCTCTTCGGGTCTCCATGGCGATATCCCTCTCACACGGAAGTACACAGCCACACATGCAACAACACACACACACACACACACACACACTGTACGTCTCTTAACTCCTGAGCTCATAAATCAACTGCTCAACGAAGCAGGGGGGCTTACGTAACTTCTGTAGCAACAGGGTCTATTTCCAGAGGTGGAGGGAGACAGGAGGGGGTGACCCCCCCCAGTCCCGGCCCCCGGGGCAGGTGATGAGATCTGATGCTGAAGCATTCTTGTGTCTGAGGCCCCCCCCCCCCCCCTCCGTCTGCTGACCCGTGGGGGTCGAAGGGGACTAACCGTGTGCTGATATGCTTCTGGGGCAGCAGGGGCAGACTGACTGTGGGGCCCCAATCACACGAGTACTGCTCTGTTTCACGTACTTTCATGTATTTTCGTGTTCTCACATTAAATGTAAACCCTGCTTACATCACTGCGACATCACCTCTTTAGAAAGCTCCTTCCCAGAGAAACAGAAGACACCGAGCACAAGTCGTGTCCAGGCTGTCGGACGCCGTGTGCTGCTGATTTGTGCTGCAACCTTTTGTTTTTTTGCTGTGAAGGGCTCAAAGGGAGGACCGAGTGTCCCTCCCCAGCTGTGTGGGGCTGCTGTTCCCAGACGGTTGACCGGGTGGCAGGAAGCTGGCGTGGGCCCAGCCGCCGGTGTTGTTTCTTCAGTGCAGTCGGCGGAGGAAAGCGTTGGCTGCCACCACCTCACCGCACTGTTCTGCACCAGGGATCAGCTGGCACTGATCCGTGAGACCGTGTTGACACGACAGTGTCGCCCCCCCCGAGGGCAGCGGGTGGGCTTCCCTTTCTAAAACAACCACACACCCGGCAGAGGTTGGCATCTTTTTGGCAGCAAGGGTGGGACGCGTAGAGGTGTTGGCTTTGCCAGCGGCCGCTCCGGGCTGGAAGTGTGGGAAAGCGAAGGACTGGAGCTGGACGGACGTTTCGTCGGTCTTTACATCAAGACGGATTCCTGTGGGAGGCCCCTCATGACTCCCGAAAGTGGTCGTGCTCTACGAAGGGACAGATGTGTGTCCACATCACAAAGAGACAGAAAGACACAGAGCCAAATATCAGCTTCAGCTTCCCACCAGGTCTTCACATCCCTGCTGCAGTGCCAACAGAGAGAAATGTTAAAAAGTGCCCATCCATCCATCCATTGGTCTCCTTTTATGCCGTATGCATGCACGCGTGGAAGGGTTTGGAGGGGGGGAAATCACCATTAGTTTGAAAGATCATTTCTAAGTGGAGACAAAGACTCGCTCACGTGCAGATTTGACAGGCTGGTTTCGCCGTCATCAACAGAATTATTACTGACTCTCCCTGACCTCATGCGTATGCACATCCTTCATCATCTCCATCTCCCTCATCATCATCATCATCATCATCATCATCCGATTGACTTGTCTGTGACCTGAGTGACCGTGTGTCGTCTCCTTCTGCACCAGAGCAGCTGTAATACACGGACGCAGTCTTTAAATGCAAACACAACAATGTAGGATTATTCTAGATGTTAAATCCCTTTTACCGATATTTAAAGACACCTCCCTTGGTCTGTGTGACTGCTTTGACTAAAATCACCTTCGAACGAGCATGATGACATTTTGGCTCAGCTCAAACCTTGAGAATCAGGTCAGGCTTTTCACAGCAGGGGGAGGCCTTACGCACACAGACACACACACACACACACACACACACACACACACACAGCCCAGTGACTGTTGCCGCTGTGAAGTCTGAACAATGTGTGTGTGTGTGTTGACTGAAGAGAAAGCTCTGAGGTGCTAGATGTTTTTCCAAAGACTCATTCCTGCATGAAGAAACGTTTCCACGGGACTCCGGCTTGTGTTTGGTGACTAAAAAGAATATGTAGAATGTGTTTATTGAAATAATAAATAATTGAAATGCTCAAATTTGGTCAGTTCTGGTCTGCTAAACCAGCCATTGATTTTCCTTGTGATCCGTTGAATTGTCCTTAAAGGGGTTCAATACGAAAGCTAGCGGTGCATGCTAGCAGCTAGCTGCGCTAACAGTGTTACCCACTTGGCTGTTGGGAATGACCTTTGCGGGTTTTCCCACGTGGCCGTTGCACGCGCTGGAGGCCGCGACACGAGACGGGAAGGCGTTGGAGAGCGTGAGCGCCGTGGAGGGAGGCGGTGACGTCACCGGGCTTTGAGCCCGCTGAATTCTGCCAATGTTTCGGACACAGATGTGTCGCTCTGCTCCTCCCGACTCGGCCTGCACCTCCTCCGAGCCCGGCTGAGTCAAAGTGGACGCGATCTATGCGGGGACACGTAGGGACACCGGTTGTCCCATGCGGCACCTTATCAGATGTAGGTATTTCTCCTCTATTTTCAACAAACACCTGAAGAAGAAGAAGACAACGTCCAAGCTTTGACCAAAGATAAAAAAAGAAATGTATAATGCATTTTGCACACGGAGCAGCTGCTTGCCTTTCTGTTTTGTCTTTTTTTAAAAAGCAGATCATCCCGATCCGCGTGAGTCATCCGGGACGTCCACGTGGCCCAGTGACCAGCTGCGAGTCGCTCTGCGCGGCCCCAAACCGATGAGTCATGGAGGACCACGTGAGGGATTCGGTCACGCCAGGAGGAACCACATTCAAATTCTCAGTTAACTTGGCAAACATTTCAGCACAATCTGGTGCACAATCACCAGACACACGAAAAGAAAATGTGTGTAACGGCTTGAACTTTCTCTGTGATAGTGTGATGTGTGTGTAGTAGTGTATTTCTGTGTGTGTGTGTGTGTGTGTGTGTGTGTGTGTGTGTCACCGGGCTGATCCCAGATGGCTCCGTCATGTCACATTCCTCCCTCTCATTGTCAGACCGGACTGTCTGACTCCCATCTGCTGCTCTCTCCATTTCCTCCCATTTGTCCTTCAGTCTTTCTGCAGCTAATAAGCAGTTCCACAGTGCACATCACGTCCCAGTCTGGTTCAGATGGTTCAGAGTAGTTTGGGGGGAATATTTGTTGTTTTCCCAGATACCAAAAACAATGAAGGCCTTCAGGACATATTTCATATTTATTTTTGGAGTCTGGTTATGTCAGAGAGCAATATCAAGCTATCTTGGCTCAGTTGTGGAGTGTATTGGATCACGTAAAATAATCCAGTGTTCCCATGGCTCCCTTCTTTCATACTTGAGCCGCGGAGGCCTCCCACTGGCATGAATAAAAAGCCTCGCCAAGTCCATGCAAAGCAAAGAAAGGACGCGATCACGCAACGCGCTCAACGTACCGGAAGGGCTCACAAACGTGCAACGCCGACGTCTTCTCCCACTTGATGAGCCCTAAATCGCTCCAGCGAGAGGCCCCCCTCTGAGGGAGTGTTATCCGCTGATGCAATTTGTCCCCTCTTAATTCCTAAATGGCTCCCGGTGCAGCCACAAAGGCCTCTCTCCTCTCTCAATAGAGCTCTCTGTGGCGCACACTTATCTGTTCCAGTGGAGCCAACCGGCACGTAACTGAACAGAGTCTCTCTCAACAACTCTCGCACCTCTTCATTCATTCGTCCACAAGCGCTTTTGTTTCGATCTCACTCTTCTTATTGGCGGCGAGAGGGAACGGGAAAGAGTGCGGCGGTGGTGAGTAACGCTGCACGAGGCTTCAAGTGACCCAACGCGTCGTTTCCCTCAGAACTCAATCAGTGTCTCTATTGATTTCCTATTTCCCGGCACACTGCTTCATGTCCTAAAAACATTTTAAACTCTTTGCATCACGTGAATTAAGCACCTGTTTGTGAATTGAATCCTTCGCTAATAAGCGTGACAGAGTTCCTCATTATTAGGAACACGCCTGCGAGCGAAGAAACCAAAAGCAAGATACTCCCCTCACGTCTCCTGCTGGTTGACCACAATCACAGTTATGCTTTGTAAAATCACTGGTCCAGATACTGTATTCATGTCAACAATGCAACATGAATGCGCCGTCGTAGAGCATTATTTTATCAGACAAAGGCCATTGTTCGTAATCGAGTTCCAGCAGACGCTGCCTCCTCCTGTTCCATCTCTCTATCCCGCCCTCTCTTTCATACCTTTCCCCTGCCCGTCGCCCTTAAGACGACCTCGTTCTGAAGGAGGGCGGGTCCCTGCCTTTGCTTCTGCGAGCCCCGCGGCGGGTGAGCGAGGCGGCTTCCCTGTCATTACGGCCGAGTTTACACTTGACCAGACTTTCCACGGGAACCGGAGCCCGAGGGGGGGGGAAGCTCCCCTTCGCTCACCTCAACGGAGAATGGAACTTTCTTCTAGAATGCAGAAGACCTCATGGTTCAACGCACCTGCTAGGACACAATGGAAATGGTCTCATGTGAGTAACCTTCTACCAGACTTTAGTACTTGAAACGCTTTCGACACTGAAATGAAAAACACACGCTTTCAAGACCATAAGGAGTCAAATCATTGATGAATCAAAGGAATCCAACAAAGGACATGGAAGTAGAGCCGACATAGCGTGAATTAAATTAAATAGATTCCCAGGTGTAACTTTATTTAAAAAGCTTTTAGTCAACCGTGACTTTTGTTTTCTGCTTTAATAAATGATTTGACCTTACGTAGCAAAAACCTCTGAAAGCCTCATTTGACCCGAGGTCTCAGTGATCATTTGAACTCGTGTCAGCACTTTAGCATTTACCTAAAGAGTTACTACTGCAACGCCCCCCGGGGGGGGGCAGAACCCGAAGGAGTCCGTTTCCATTTCAGCATCGCTGTGGAATCACCCGGCGTAATTACTGCCCAAATGCCCCCTCTTTGCCACGGGGCAGGGACTGTCCATTCCTGCCCTGATGGATGTTCTTTTAGCGTTAGTGTTTAAAGCGAGGATCTAGTTCTTTCTGCGTTTATTCTCATTTTTAAATCCCCCCCCCCCCATGACACGAGTGGTAGCCGGGATCTGTCCCTGAACGCGTAGTCCTATTAGCAGCTGAAGGATAACGGCATTACTGTCAAATCAAACAATCCAACAAGCCGTCTTGTACGAGCTGTGATCGCTATCGTGCATCTAGTCTTTCCTCCTCCCTATGGTGACCACACATACATATAAATATAATTCATGTTTAATAGGCGTTATTTTCCATGAGCTCTAAGCAGAAGCTTTGCTCTGCGTCAGCAAAGGAAGGCTTATTCACAGAGGCATTTCCTGCCTGCTGGTAATTAGGCCCATCGCGCCTCAGACGCACGTCCAACTGCGGCTACGCTCATCAGACTCGTTAGCGCTCGGCGTTTATTTTCCCGAAAGACGGAACGAAGGCGGGAAACTCACATCCGCGCGGTGTCCTTTCCCCGTCCGTTAGGCCCAGAAATACAGGGAGCGACTCGGGTCGGATGAGAAGAAATCGTCGGCAACAATTAGCTGGGCGATGATGTACAGGGAGAAGAAAAACATGGTGCCTTCTTTCCACAACAGGTCGGCCTCAGTGGAGCAAAGGTCAGGACACGCACACACACACACACACACACACACACACACTCCTATCGTTTCCACCCTGCTTCCGTCTCAGTGGGGAGGAAAACGAGAGACGATCAGGACTCCCACACAAGGCGCAGCGCACTAACTGAGCTGGTAGCGCCCATCCTCGCCCTCGCCCATCGTCACGGAGACTGAAGAAGGGCACCTTCATTTCCATTGGTCGGAACCAGAAGGTTTATCTGGTTCACCTGTGACATTAGCTGGAGTGCAGCTGTAGGGGAGAGAGGGGGAGAGAGAGAGAGAGAGAGAAGGGGGGGGAGGCAGTTAAAGGTCTTGCCAGACCAGCTTTAACGTGGTGGTGTGAGAGACAGAAGCTGGAAGGAAAGATTGAGGAGCGAGCGAGAGGGGGGGGAGAGAGGGGGGAGAAATCTGCTAAACAAATCACTGCAACGTCCGCTGTACACACGCGCAGACGCCGACACACACAAACAACACACTCGCATGACAGGCAGCAGCAACAAATGAAAAAAGACACACAAAAAAAAAAAAACCCTTGCTGCTGTGGGTCGCCGTGGCAACGGGCCTTCGGGGCCAGATGTGTGCGTGCAGAGTCAGCAAGTGTGCGGCACGGTGTCACGTGACTGTGAGCTGGTCTCAACTCCCGTGACTTTGAGAAGTGACGTGTACACAATGTTTGACACAAAGCACACAAGGCGATTGGCAACTAACACACCTTTCGCACACGAGGGGGGAGTATGTGGAGAAAAATGAGCCTCAACACACCCCGACCGCGGTGAACAGATAGTCGTCCTAACCGCTCGATCCAACTTGAACGCATGTCAGTTGTCATATTTACAGCTTCCAGGTCACGATTATTTGGGGCTCGTATAAATACGGCCGACTTTACTTTGGTTCAACAGCAACAAACACTGTCAGAGGGGAAGCCTCCCCCATGAATCAACATGTGTGAAAAGACCCACACACACACACACACACACACACACACACACACACACACATACGCGTTGGAAATAGATGGAACTATTGAAGCGCTGACTAGGAGTAAAATGTTAGTTTTCATGTACCACACAGAGACTTTCTGGTATTCAACTCATTCAAACTGTGTTTGTGTTTAGAATGTTGAGAAACATTTGATTTTGACTGATCATTTTTTTACTTTTACTTTTTTTAGACCAAATGTTATTCGACCGAATAACTTTTTATATATATAACTTTCATTATATTTTTGACCTAATAATTTGATACCATTTTCCATGACATTATTCCGTTTTTTTACATTTTGTTAACTTTTGGTTCACAATTTTTTCACATTATGTTTTTCGATCCTTCTAACTTTTTTTCCATAACAATTTCTGACCCAACCAACTTTAGACTTTTCTTCCACAACACTTTTTGAACATAGATCTTTTATGGTCCTAGTCAACCACAAAATGAGTTGAGGTAACTAGCGGTGACCATTTCACCGATGTTATTATTGATCACATGATTGAGTCCCAGATACAACTTCTGTCACCAAGGCTGAACACAGACAAATGAGTCTGAGTCTCTTCTGCACAGTTGGGACTAAAAAAGGCCCCTCTGTCATGACAGGAACCCCCCCCCACACTTTTGCTCCAGGGAGGGTCTTGGTTCCTCTTCTGAAGACACTAATCCATAGAGGTCTTTGAAACACTCGCCTGGCCCCTCACCTTGTACCAAAATGCTTCGGGAGACAATAACAGGAGCTGTTGTCCCTGACAACACAGCTCTAGGGGTCAAAGGGTCAACCCCCCCCTCGACCCACCACTTCAAGGGGGTAACAATTCTCCAGGGGACATTTAACAGACCACGTTAAACAAAAAAGTAGTTTAGAAAATCCGGGGATGTCCTCAAAGATAAAAGCCAGAGTCGGACTTCATCATGATTTGTAGGTGAATCTGTGCTGACGTAAAGTTTCCTGATCCTGTCTTAGTTTTTCATTACTGGTTCGACTGGCTGCCCATCAGCGCGCCTCGAGTCAGGTGCGCCGCCGCTCCGACTTCACGTCTGTCGGCAGCTCGGCTCATAAGGCTCCTCTCAAGATTTAGGCACGACCAGGCCGGTGTCAGGCGGGTCCAACGTGTCCAATGTGCACCAGGACCAAGAGGGATCTCCTTCAGCCCAGTGAGACCACTGAGACCAGTGTCTCCCTTTGGTCTCCTCTCTCACACATGGCTGCACACACACCACAAAACCTTCGCTGTCACGTTCACACATGGGCAACACACAGGGTGCCGTCAACCAACCCGACTACGGGTCGCCATCCACCGGCCAGCGCCTCGCCGCACGGGAACCGATCACGCTGGTCGTGCACCGCTTCGCCATCTGCTTCGCCAAACACATTTCCACACTGGAACCTGACGACATCAGCCGAAAGCTGCCCCAAAATAGTTCTGCACGTTATGAATCACCGGAGTTTCTGCGGATTATTTTTCCGCATTTTGGACGTGTAACGCTGGGACAAACACACACATTAACGCTGACTAACGCACTAAACGCCGCGCTGGTCTAGACGGCTTATCTCCCCGCTGTAATCAAACGGGGCTTTTTGGCACAGGCAGGCCAGGTGTGCATTGGAAATGCACGTGTGTGTGTGTGTGTGTGTGTGTGTGTGTGCGCTCATTCTGATAAACAGTGTGTCCACAGTGTAGTACAGGAAGTGGTGCGTCACCACCACACAGAGGCAGAGATTGTAGGGGAGTAATACAACGACGCAGACACACAACCAGAATCATTGTCATTTAAATGCCTCCGTTCAACACTTGATAGACTTCAATAAATGAGGTTTTGACATTTGCTGTTGATTAATGTGTTTATAGTATATTATACATGTCTATCATACATCCATATACAATATACATATATGTCACATGAAAAGATTATTTTATAAAGTGTGATAAAAATCTACTTCATTGATATTTTATCCATGTTACCTTATTGTATATAAATTTAATAATTGCTTTCTATAAATTATAGTGATCTAGTTTATGTCGCGCTGTTTTAATCACTTTCCGGATGCAAAGATCAGAACCAGTTATGATTGATTGTGTAACACTCGACACCACCGACATGAGTAAACAACTGCGCCGTGTTGATTGGATTTATTACAATTTTGAACTTTACATTTACACAACAATGTACAGTTAAATACGATTTTTAATAGATTTTAATATGCCGATTTGCACACTTGAAATGCTTACTCTTTCCACAACTCAGAGTGAGAGTAAGAGCGAGGGTCAAATGGATTTAAGCCCCGGACATGCGTCAGAGCGATCAATGGAGGCTGATGGTAATGAAGGCTATTGATCCTACGAGGCCCCCAGAGGCCCCCAGAGGCCAAACCGATTCCGCGTGCCATGTGTTAATTAGATCGTGCACCAAAACAGCTCTGTGCGCTCTTTCCCCTCTTCGGAAGGTGTCTGAGGGAGGAAGAGGAGTGTGTGTGTGGTGTGTGTGTGTGTGTGTGTGTGTGTGTGTGTGTGTGTGAGTGTGTGTGTGGAGGGGGGGGCAGTGAAAGGGGATCTCCATGGAGAAGGAAAAAGGGAAATTCCTCGCTCGCAGTCCCAGCATTCCTGTGGAGCCGAGTTACCGCCGCTCGGATGGCCGGGTCAGGTGTCTCCTTCCTGCGAGACGGACGACACAGGAAGTCCAAAGGCAGGAGAGCGCGTTCAAGTTGACGCGCGCGCCCCCCAAGCCCCCGCCCCCTTCCTCCGCCCTGCGTGCGTCAGTGCAGTCAGGCGACAACCGGGAAGGACAACAGCAGGTCGTACTCTTGATCCCCAAATGGGGCACGAGACAGGCCGCTGGCATCCACGCCGTCACTGTTGCTACCCAGACAGCGGGTCTCATGTTACAGTCACACACACACACACACACACACACACCATCAAAGGCGCAGCAGCTACACCCAGAGGGACACGACAGAGCGGCTGAGCGGTCAGCCATCGAAATAATAAAAACACAGCGGTCTCTTCCCGTCGGGGAGAATCTTCGGTTCTGATGCAGCTGAAATAAAGTGATATGATCTGATGCTGAAAGCGGCCTCGGGACGCGCCGCGAGGCACTGGACCCGCGGGGGGAGCGGTGAGCCTCATGCACTGGACAGCATCGTGGACGTGAAGATCTGCTGCAGGATCTGAGGGATCTGCTTGGTGTCCATGGCAACGAAGGACCTCCCTGCTGGAAGGGTCTTTTGGAGTCTGAATGAAAAAGAAGAAGAAAAAAACCCCAGTTCTTTCTATCTTTGTTTAATCATCCTTACACGTAAACGAGGACACACATCATCATCGTCAGCAGTCCACAGGGACACAAACTGCCCCCACGTGAGAATACGTAACACAGCGTCCCCTCAAGTGTTTAGAGATTGAACCGGCGTCCATTTGTACCCGACCTCGGCATCAGGAGTAGAAAAGTAATACGTTTTTGGAGTCGGGATGAACGTCCTTAACATGGCTCCTGTTCAGATAACAGCCCGGTTGAGTCATTTTATCCTTCCTATTTCCTCCTTTGCCTCCCTTAATTGTACCTCCATCTCGCCACCACCCAGGTGACCCCCCGGTCTCCGCCCCCCCCCTCTCACCTTTCGGCCTGATCGCCGAGGGACCCGATGAAGATGGCGAAGGCGTTGACCTGCGGGTCCGCGGTGAGGACTGGGGCGAAGCGCTCGGGCCGGATGCCGTAGCGCTCCAGGTTGGCGTCGCTGAGCACCACCACGAAGTGCTCGTCGGCCTCTTCTCGCGCCAGCTCCTTGATGCTGGCGTCGGTGCCCTCCAGAGTGAAGTCGCCGCTCATGCAGAACTGCGAGTGGGCGTGCATGTTCTGCAGGGCGGGAAACAAACGACGGGTCAGTAAGGAGCAAACAACCGATCTGAGGGGCCGGAGGGAAGTGACGGAACGGGGCCGATTGTGTACCTTGAGGACCTTGAGTCGGTCCTTGTTGTTCTTGGGGACTTTGTCCGCTCGGACCAGCTCGATGTCGTAGCCGTCGCCCGAGTGTCCCACGACGTCGTACTGCGGGGACAAAAAAAACACTCTGATGAGACGCAGCAAACATGCTGCGCGGCGTGCCCCTCTAATGCACGGCCTGGAATAGAATGCGGGTGGAGGTGTGACGGTGCTGAAATACCAGATTGTACCGTGTGGTATTTCAGCACCGTCGATTCTATTTTGTACTGTGTGTTTTCTTTGTCTCATGAGATGCATTTTTATGTGAGGGATGTTACGCAAACGAAGCAGTTACACAAAGAGTACGTGTGTGTGTGTGTGTGTGTGTGTGTGTGTGTGTGTGTGTGTGTGTGTGCGAGACACACTGATATGTGATCGGCATTAGGTGGGGTTGAGTATCACTCAGGGGCCCAGAAGTCTGCCTCCCATCTCCCCTCCTGCTCCCCCCTCTCTCGGGGTGTGTGTGTGTGTCAGTCACCTTGAACCTGTGCTCGTAGCCCTCCAGAGCCTCCATGACCATGCACACGGCCTCCATGGAGCGCTCCAGCCGGCCGTCCACGCCGTTGAAGCGGTACATGCTGCCCGACACGTCCACGAGCACCCGGAGGCGCTTGGGCTTCTGCTGAGGACTGCCCAGCTGTGAACACACACAAACACACACACACACACACACATAGTTTATATAGCATTTGACTTAAACTGACTTAATTCTAGACCTTCACAGCAGACCACAGACGCTCGGAGCTAAATAAGCCGGTAAAACATGGCATGCATATTATGGTTAGTGTGCGTTTGTATGATTAGCGAGTGTGTGTGTGTGTGTGTGTACTCAACTATACATGAAATGGCTTAAAACTGTGTGTGAAGCACAGGGTTTAATCGTATTCTCACACGCACCACTGGAAATGTATCGTATGACAGATAAAGGTTACAGTTATGTGTGTTTTTCTGAGAGGCGTGGTTTAAATATCTGTAACACACACACTCACACACACACACACACACACACACCTCTGGGTCCAGCTCGCCCCGGCGCTTGTATATGGCCTTCTCTCCGGTCAGCCCATCAATGATTTTGGCATCATCCAGTTCTCCCAGCGCCTGGTTCTTCAACCACTGCCGCTCCTTCCCTTTAGCCTGAAAACACACGCAAACACGCACAAACACATTATGAGCTGATCTAAACAAACAAGTAAAACAAACATTGTCTGGGGACAATGATTTCATTTTGGCGGCGCGGGTGGTGAAACAAGGGGAGCCCGACACAGAAACAGGAGGTTGTACAGACGCGTTCTCCGTCATGTATGTGTGGAACAGGGAACGTTTAAACAAGCGACTGCATCGTGACTGGAGGAGTCGGCCGGTGGGATTGTGGTCACATGGGAGGACGGGGAGAAGAGAGGACAAGCAACATCACTTTCAGTCCGCTCCCTCAGGAAGGAGCGCGAGGTTAACAAAAGCAGGAAGCCGCTGATAAGGCCTGCTGACGTTATTGTGGCTCCACACGACACATGAACGCACACACACACACACACATGAAAGAACACAGACTGGCCGTCACACACAGCACAGGTCTCCAGACTTAACATCTGATGAGAACGAAACATTTGGAGCAAAACTGTGGATCAGAGGAGATAAAATGAGATTAACCCTTCATTGTCTTATTAGGACACGTTTGTCTCGGACCTCCTTTGTCCTCAACACAGCGTCTGTGATTCTCTGATTTCCATTCTGATGCGTTTGATGACAACATGTCGCCGTGGTTACGTTCGGGGAGCCAGTTCTTTGTTTGGGGGATAAATAGAGGGGTTTCCCTCAGGGAGACTGACAATACCAGTAAATTGAAAGCTGGCCCGCTCTGGTTCGGTGTGTGTGTGTGTGTGTGTGTGTGTGTGTGAGAGACTCCTTAAATCACTCCTCAGGTAGGATGACTTCACCGGGTCACGCCTGCTTAGATTGGTATAATCTCCATCCGTCTTTCCAGCGGGAAAGAGGCCCGGGGCTCCGAAGAACCAACACAAACAATAACCAGCGCTCATGTTGGGAGCCAGCGCTGGCACGGCTGCAAACACCTGGACGCAACACACAAACACACACACGCGCACCACAACAACGACGAATACAAATAGGGCTTCACACCTGGAGAGGAGAATAATAGAGCGTGGCTTGGTGGCGCTTCTCTGTAATCATTCTCACAGGCTGCGTGGTTTTCCTCTCGTCACATGCTCACAACCCCCCCCCCCCCCCCACCGCCGCCACCACCCCCCACCCCCCCCCCCACACCGGAAACGCACAAAAATTTTACCAAAAACGCCAAAAAAAAAGGGGGAAAATTGGGATCCAAACACTGGAATTGAGACAATATTCCATCCTGGGGTTTAAACCGCCGCTCCCTAAACTCCTGTGGTCATTTCCCCGGCCCAACAAGGGCCTCCCGGGGGGGGGGCGCGCCCCCTCCTTCCTGCCCCTGGGATTGTATAAGGCGCGCCGGTTGTCATCCAACAACTTTGTGACGCCCAGGACTTTGTTCCCCGACGACCAGGGTCAACTAGGCTGCGTGCAGTGAGAAGCTATTTAACTGACCTGAACCTGAGTCGTGTCAAACCGCTGTACTCAAATAAAAAGATGAAATAATCCTCAAGTAGAAAGAAAAGGCAGCAAATATTACAATGAAGTAACTGTCACCTGGTTTGTCCGTCTGTGGTATAACATGCATGTTGACAGTGGCACTTTGACTAATAGATTCAAGCAGAGATGCAGGAGCGGAGCCGACCTGCAGACTGTCCAGCACGATGCGCAGAGACTGGACTTGTCTCCGGACGGCGTTGGAGAAGCGCTCGTAGGTGGAGGCATCGTACTCGCTCATGTCGATCTCCTTCAACCTGAGAGGATCGGACAGAGAAACACACGCGGGGGGAGAGAGAGGGAGGGAGAGAGAGAGAGAGAGAGAGGGTGAGATGACTCCATTTGATGCACAAACTTCACATCCGAACAGCCCGAACGTTTGTTTCTATTCCATCCCGGACAGTCTGTGGACATCGATCACGTGACCCCTGGGATGCACTGACTGTGTATTCCACCATCTATTTACACCCGAGCAGCTGCTTGTGTGTCTGGACCGAGACGTGGGGTCAGAACAGAGACGGGGGTCGCTGCTTTTAAATAAAGAGGCTCCTTGTGTGTTCTCTAAAACACACCTGTGGACATCACAAGAAAGCGTGCTTATCAGCATAATCCCCCGCCGTGCGGGGGGGGGGGGGGGGGGCTACCAGGTGTTTGAAACTTTTGACGGCAACCAGACCGTGACATCCACGGAGATACAGAGCAGTGACAACGGAACACGGGTAGGGGTTCAAGGGTGGTGTCCCGGCTTGTAACAAACCTGAGGGAGAGCGAGATTTGTGTAGCCTGCGCTGGCATCAGCCACGCGATCAAACACGCGTCGCGCGCCCTCAGAGGACGTGCGGCCACATGACATCTGCAACAGGCCACGAAATGGGGAGAACAGGACGCCGTCGTCGAATCTCAAATGAAAGCAAAGGTTCCGCGCGAGGCGGCGAGACCAACAAAACCAACACGAGCGGCGTGGCGGTGGAATATTTCAATTGGTTTTTCTCCTTCTTACCCTCCCCTCCCCTCCCCTCTCCTCCCTCCCTCCCTCCCTCCCCCGGCACACAGTGTCTCACACCGGTGTGATGGTTATTTTAGAGCGGCACACACAGTCCCCCGGTGGGTTCCTCTGCATTCACACCACATCGGCCCGCAGAACAGCAGCTTCCTCCACACATTCCTAGGTGTGCACGTGTGTGTGTGTGTGTGTGTGTGTGTGTGTGTGTGTGTGTGTGTGGGTGAGAGAGAGAGAGAGAGAGAGGATGCGTGAGAGCGGACGCTCTGGCCAGCGGTCGCGGCTATTTCCTTCGAATTCCTGAACCCGTGCCTTCAGCCCGGGAGCAGCGGCTCGTACCAACAAAACGCGTCGCCCTCATGCAAGAAAATGTTTCCATGAGCATCTGTGTGTTGTAAGAAATCATTTAACACTAAACGTCTACAACTCATCCAACACGCAGACATGTTTTTGCAAGTGAGATTAAGATTCGGGAGGAATCTCTGAGGGAAACTTATTGCCATCTGTTTGTTTTGCATCCTTCAGAAGGTGTTGTGCGTTGCGCCCGTCTCAACAACAAGATGACGAGCTGAAGCTAAAGTCATTTAATCCAGCGAAAATGATCTATAAATACAGTACACTTATTATCCAAGTTTCTCTCTTCATTCATTTTTGACCTTTCGACACAGCCAGAGAAATGCCTGGAGCAGAGTGAGTATGTGTGTGTACACGCTCACGTGGGTGTTTCCTCTTTAGGCATACCTCTGCCTGCTCGTGTGTGTGTGTGTGTGTGTGTCAGGTGTGTGCGATCGGTACTGAGCCTTAAGCTAAGCAAACAGAGGAACCAGCACACACACACACACATCAGCAAAAGGGAACTTATGGAAAATGTGATATGAGGAACGACAGCATAAAGTCAAGCCTCCCATCCGCGGTGTGTGCTCACCTGCTGCGTTCAAGAACAGTCATGTACAGTGACATGTACTTGGAAGCATGGTATCAGCATGCAGCTACAAGAGTGTCTCCGCGCTTAGGGGGACAGTGATAGACAAGGAGACGGGAGGGAGGGAGGGAGAGTGTCAAAGAGGACTTTTTTTTTTTTTTTTTTTAAAGCAAGTGAAGACCAAGGCGAGAAAAGCAGAGACACCAAAAAGGGGCGAGAGGAGAGGCAGAGAGGTCGTCCCCGTGGCGTGAAAGCGGCCAGTGTGTGAGAAGGGCCATGCAGGAGAGGGGGGAGGATGGGGGGAGGATGGGGGAGAAAAGAAGGTATAGAGAAAGAAACTGTTTGAAGCAAAGAACAGAGACAGCCTTCATGGTGGAGCTGGTGAAAGGGACGCCCTCCTAACCCTCCTCTGTGGAGCAAGTGTGTAGTGTAGAGACACACACATACACACACACACACACATACATACACACACTTAGAATATGTAGAAGCAGGTGGGATCGGCCAATAAGCAGTTAACCGCTTGCCCCTAATCCACCACAGAACGTAGTTGTTTGCCCGAGATATGGCCTCAGGCCTGGCAGTTTTTTATCAACCAAGCTGCCCTGCTAGATGCCCTCTGACCAAGAGGGCCAACACACACACACACACACACACACCTGTTCCACGTTACACACATTTCAGTTCTACGGGTGGAGGGTCAAAGATGGACGTTTGTTGGCAGCGTGTTTTCACAGGATTCTAAAGGCACCCACTTCTCTTTGAAGGCCTTTTCGCCCATTTCCCGGGCGGCTCTGCGGACCTCCTCCGGCACGGCGTCTTTCTCAGCCTGGGAGACCTGGTGGACCTTGTGTCCCGCGTCCAGCCGATAGGGGCCCCCTTTGCCCCCCAGCCCCGCCGTGTCCCTGCCGCCTGCAGCCACACAATTCATCACGGCGCGAAGCAATCACTGCGACGAATAACTGCTACAGTTAAATACATTACAGTTTGTGTTTTCCCCCCGTTTTGGAAACAAAAGTAAAAAAAAAAATTAATTCCCATCACAGTTGATGAATTTGAATTAAAATGCAAAAGAAAACAAAGCACCTGTGGTGTCATCAATAAGAATAAGTGTGAGTTCTCCATCCTGCTGACTCGGTTACCTGTGCCTCCTGCCCACTGGTTTCCCCCAACGTGGGGGTCGTTGTTGGCGTCGACCTTGCCATGTTTCGGGGCGGTGACGTCCAGGCCGCTGTCCCTCTGGATGGTGATCTGATGAGGGGGTCGAGAGATGCCGAGTGGGTCAGTTTGGGTTTTTTAAACATTCAAGGAGTCTTGTACAATCACTTCTGGTGTCTCTACTGTCTCCGTTTCCTTTGTCCCAGTTGCTCTGGATCACCACAGACTTGTGAAGTCGCTCTCATCCCATCAGGGGGAACAATGAGTCCCACAACAGATGTAGATCCAGTGAGAAGATAACCAGCTAACGAGCAACACTCCGGACCACTTCGGGAATCCAGTTTCACCACAGAAGCAGCAGTGTTTAGACCTTGTTAAAAACCTCCTTTGGGAAGAACGACAAAGAAGACGCTTTTGGGTCCCAGTTCTAAAAGGACTCGCAAGAATGGAGACATGAGAGAGTTCCTGGTCTCCTTCCACATCCTCACACAACCGGTCCTGATACCTTCTCCTCACCTTTGGCCTGGAAGAGTGGAGCGATCGCCGAGCATCAGCGGCACAGTGGAAGCATTCAGTCAGTGTGTTTACATGATGGTATAATTGGAATCTTTGCTATCTTTCGGGTGCTATTATCCCAATATACATGGCAGTGAATAAATCGAATCATTGGCCGAAAGCCATGTCATATCCGGTGTTGATAGTGCCGCCGTTTCCATTAACAGCTAGTTGTGATGCAGCCATTTCCCTTGACCGTTTTACCACTACCAACAACAACCAACATCAACATTAGGAGAAAGATGGCGAGCGGAGAGCGAGGTGAAGCTACATCCCTCTACTGTCTGTGCGTGATTCTAAGAGGAGCACAGCGAAGGCGAATGGCGCTATCGGCTGATTTGATAACGGAGAGAAGACGCCGCCGGGATCTCGAGCAGGCGCAAAGACGCAAAGTCCAGCTCCTCAACCGATTCACCGTCACGTGCCGCGATAGTCGAACTATCAACCGGATCGGATCGAGTTATCCAGGCGTGTTAGTCGGATCGGAGTCGGGCAAAGGTGTTTACGTGAAACGGACAATTCGATTTCAGTCCGACTGAGCCAGTTATTCCAATCCATGTAACCACGCTCACCGAGGGGCCGCACTCGGTTCCCAACTGGTCCGAGGGTCAGAGCGATGGGGAGGTCGGTCTGAGCATCGGGGGGGCGAGAGAGGAAAGAGCAGTTCAGCGGGAGCAAAGTGGGGCTCCTGTGGTTCGGCCGCATTGTCGCGTACTGCAGCGGGGTGTGGGAGGGGGGTGTGGGGGGGGTGTTGTTGACGTCTTGCAGGGTTTGTTTTGGGTTCGTCACAGACTGAGCGGTTGGAGGGACACTTATCTGCCAGGAGCAGCGGCCCACACCTCCGGCTGACCCGCTGGAGCCCAGAGCTCCGGTCTCACGTCCACATGGAGCTGCTGTATCAGCAGAGCTCGGATTGGAAGGGTCAGTGTGACACGAAGGACAAGGACGAGATAAACCCTCATCGTGGGAACGCGACACGCGTTACTGCTCAAGCAGATTAAACTGAATGGAGAAAACATGTTGGTCTCTGCCTTCACGCTGGAAGTTGTTGGTTTTAAAATGCCCTCCATGGAGGCACCCTGTTAATATCACTCAAACACCCCCTGTGGACACACACACACACATATGCAGATCTCCAGGTCAGCTGTGTTGGTTGTTGACGTTGCAGATCTACATGGGAAAAACCCTCGCATGACAATAACATGGGGGACGGGGGGCACGGGGGGTTTCAGGGTCTCACATTGGTCATTTAAAATGACAAACATCCCCGCTGTCCCATGCGGCTGCGAACCAACAGAGCGTCAGAAGAGCTTTTACTCTGGCGTTAGCAGAGATCCACAGGAAGCGCGCGTGTGTGTGTGTGTGTGTGTGTGTGTGTGTGTGTGTGTGTGTGTGTGTGTGTGTGTGTGTGTGTGTGTGTGTGTGTGTGTGTGTGTGTGTGTGTGTGTGTGTGTGTGTGTGTGTGTGTGTGTGAGTGTGTGTGTGTGTGTGTGTGTGTGTGTGTGTGTGTGTGTGTGTGTGTGTCTGTGTGTGTGTAAAGGTTAGTGTCCGTGTGTACCCCTCATAACCTATAGACAGCAAAGGATGCGTGATGCGACACAGATCCTTGCTCCTGCCGTTTTTGCGTTGACTTACACACAGAAGAAGGTAACCCGAGTTATGACGAGCTCTCGAGTATGAGCTCGCGAGTGGTTATCCTTCCCGGGTAAAGAAATCGCCTTCGCCCCACATAACGAGCTGTAAGCGGGGCTCGATCCTGGGAGATCTCTTTAATGACCGAGTGCAGATTGCGAATACACGCACCGCTCCCAGAGGGAGACCCGCAGAGAGAAAACGCCACTTTAAAGTCTATTATGGGTCGTTTTGTGGGACGTAAATTCTTACCCCCCCCCACCCCGCCCCTGCTCCCCGCTTCGAGCGTGCACGCCACGACCGTCACGCCCTGCATGCACACCCCCCCACACAAACAGACGACAAACACAACCACCCCCCCCCGATGTCCGTGACGGGACATGACGTTTTATCTTATACACCGCTCTTCTAGCACGATTCACAACACTATTTGTCGTACTATCTGCACCGC